TTGCCAAGCATAAGGAATACTGAAAAGGCACATTCACAACATGAGAACTGCGACATGCTCTGTGCTGATGACGGAATGAAACCAAAAAAGCCCAAATGTTAGCCGGCTTTAGACACAGCCTTGTGTCAATTACAATTCTGACCCTCCTTTCTAAAATGTCCCAACCCTCCAGGTCAGAGGCCAGACAAAAGAGCTTACCCACGCTGTCACGACACAGCACGACCACGAGAGCCCATACCAAATGTTTCACTGAGAGGAAGTGGGCAGAGCAGGACATCTGGTGGTGGGAGCAGGGCCAGAGCCCACGATGGGGGCCCCTACAGGGAGCCCCATCGTCCTAGGCTCTGGGATGGAGGCCTGAGGGTTTGCCCGACCTCACACCAGTATTCATGGGAGCTGAAGATCAGGCCTCAGGGTAGAGAAATAACTGTACCCACATACTTCCCCTAGGGATGAACAGCGGTGGCTGATATGCTACATAGGTGTCACCTTGGGCAGAAGACCAAGACGTTACCTGTCCTTCCCAGGAAAGTCTTCGGTCCCTCTCCCCACCTGTGTGCTGGCCATGTGGCTTGCTTCCCCATTGATTCCCATTTCATCAGCATTACCGAAGCAACTATGCTTTAAGCTTACTGGTTGACCATAGTTTTGTCTCACTCAAGGCCCACCTTTTGATTTTTCTGTTGGATCACTATCACCTAAGCAACTGTACCTGTAATCTCATTAGTTGGCTATGGTTTTGTCCACCTCAGGCCCACCTCACCCTGTGGCTTGCTCTATAAAACTCCCTTGTTAAACAGAGTTCCCAGCAACCCTCGGGATCCCTTCCTGTGCCTCTTAGAAACTTTGTTTCTCTCAATAAATACTTTCTACACTTAACCTCCATGGTTCCTACAATTCTGTGATTTTAGCGAACACAAACTCAGAGTACGGACATCTAGCAGGTCGGGAGTTGTATTTCCCTTATTCAGGTTATTTGAGGTCCTCTATCATCACTACATCATAATGCCTATGTCATGTCCATGTTTGTTGTTCTTGTGCCATGGACTCATCCTTGGAACAGTGTATCAGTGGTCATCCCAGCTGCGTCACTGATATATTTTTGACGAAGTTGCCATTGCATGATCTTGCAAAATGCATCAGTCAGTTTTGTTTTTTCCCCAGTGCTGGGCTTTGAACTCAGGGCCACGCAAAGCTGGGCACCTAACCCACCATTCAGCTCCACCTCAGCCCACATCAGTCGGATTTTTTATTTGTATCATATTCGGCTTTTCCACAGCATCTGACACATTTGATAATACCAGATTTTCTTCCTTCTTCTCTTGTTTTCCTTGCTGAAAATACCACTTCCTGGTTGCTTCATCTGGAATGTTCCGGAGCTCCTCCTTGGGCTGTCTTCTCTGATTTCCGTTACACCCAGACTATAGTTCCTAATCTAGGACTGTAAATACCATTATGTACTGATCATTTTGCAACACGTTTCCAGTTCAGATTATTCTCTTGACTACCTTCTTTCCTTTTAATCTAACTGCTTGTTCAGCAAATCCATGTAGGTATATTACAGCAATCTCACATTCAATGGTGTCAAAACTGGACCTCTTAATTTTCCCCTCACACTGACTCACTCACAGTATCTCCACCTCCCACAGATTTTTTTTTTCCAAATCTTTGGCGCCACTGCTTTTATTCAAGCCAAAAACTCATCCTTATTTTTTCTCAATACTTCTAATTCATTAACCAGTCTAATGAGATGTCCTGTCAGAATACATATACAATCTGACTAATTTTCTCCCTTACCACTATCATATAATGACAAGACAGGAGATTAGGGTGTGGCAAAACTGGCTGGGGAAGTGGGTGTGACCTGTTAATTACAAAATCCTGGGACTCAGGAGCAGAAAGAGCCAGGCATGCACTCACTTCTCCGGAGTTTTCAATAGAATGACCCAGCACTGCCTCTCAGGACCCCCATGTAGAAGTTCTCCAGGTTTCCTTAAGATTTAGATCTCACAGAAGGATATGGATGTCAAAAATGGCCGACTCTTACGGCTTTACTTTTGGCAGCTCACCTTGTAACCTCCAGGATGTATTTTTATCTTGCTGTTTTACTCACTGCTGAACCAGTTTAGTTTCTCCTTCACTTTTCACTTTGACTTTTTCTAATAAACCTTGCCACTACTTTTTGTTTGTTTCATTCATTTCTTTGTTCAGGACAAGAAGATACTGGAATCCAACTCCAGAAGGAGAGACAAGCAACCCCAAAGTTGGTAAGGTTTATTTGGGGAGCCATTTTTAGGAGCTACCTGGTAACTCATCAGTTTTTCACACTATTTTAGCTATTCCAGCCTTTTTCTCGGTGTCACAGTGTGCTTCTGTCTCTAGAGGCTCAGGTATCCAAATCCCTGACCCCTCTCTAGAGCAAAGAAATTGTACCATTTCTCCTTTTTTATGTGGTAGAGTTGCCCCCTTTAAAAAAAAAAAAAAGGCATTGCAAGGCCAGGGATATAGCCCAGTGGCAAAAGCACCTGCCTGGCCAGCGCAAGATCTTGAGTTTGATTCCTGGTACCACCCCCCAAAAAAATTGAAAAAAAAAAAAGAATTGTAAATGAAAATAACAAGGTCAACCTAATTTTCATTATATCAATAGTAGAGTCAAATCTCTAGTTCCTGTAGGCTAGCGGTGTGCATGGACTATATTTGTATCTAATCTATTCCTCACCCTATTGATTTTTGAAGGGCCCCTCAGCTCCTTGCCTCTCCTAGCCTGCTGGTAGGAGCAATCAGTTATCTGGGTGACGTGGGTGGGAAGCGGCCTGGAGCAGGACAGGGCCAGGCCTGTGTGCTCCAGCCCCACCAGTACAACTTAATAACGGCCCTCGACAGGACTCACTCTCTCCACATCTAGATTTCCACATGCAACAGCCATTGACTCAAAGAGACATAAGGGCCGGGCGTGGTGGCACACACTTGTAATCCCAGCACTCTGGGAGGCTAGAGCATGCTAGAGCCCGCCCTGGGCAATTAGGTGACTTAGTGAGGCCCTGTCTCAATGAAAAAGAAAAAGTGTTGAGGACGCGGCTCAGCACAAAGGCTTTGGATTCAATCCTCACCACCAGCACCCCCAAAAGATAAGGAGAAGTCAGGTCAGCAGCTGACTTCCTTGAATGCACGAGCACTGCGGGCAGGGGAGGGGATGGGCCCAGGCAGCGTCCAACACTGGGCACAGGGAAGGCCTCTTAGCGCGGCTATTGCATGACTCCCCAAGCACCTTCTACATCATCACTGACGTCAAAATCCGTAGCTTACCACCAAAGCTGGCGATAATCAGTAGGACCTGTATTTGTCTGGAAGGATCCCAGGGCGTACTAGGGAAGGTGTTGGGGAAAAAATGACAGTATGAGTTCATTTGGGACAGGTTCATTTCAGAGCGAACCTACAAGGGACTGTCTGGTATTTCTGTACTATTTGTAAGGTGTTTTAGGAGATTGTGAGCATAAAGGGGCACTGTGAGGGTTAGGGTAGGGCTCAGTGACTGGCAGTATGGTGTAGCTGTGGTTGCTGGGCCTCGTTAGCCCGTGACTGTATATCTTCAGCGAGGATTAAAGCATGGCGGGATGGAAGAGGCCTGAAGCGGTCTCTGCTCAGTCCAGAGTGGTGGTGGTCGGACTCCTTCAGAAGGGGTCAGTGAATCAGTGTTCTTCCATTTTATTTCACAGAGCTGGGGATCAAAGCTAGGATTTCCCACATGCTAGGCGAGCACTCAGCGGTTGAATTACATCCCTAGCCCCAGGAAGACTGTCCTGAGAGTACTCACAGCAGGGGACTAACAAGAATCATTGCTATAATTAATGGTGCCAAGTGAGAAAATAGCATGAAGAAACCTTGGGTAATGGAAGCTGAACTTTGGCAGCTTTGAAGTTGGAAAGACAATAAAAATAGCTTTGCACAACTGTTGGGCTAGAGATGTTCTAAGACCACAGGTGAATGTGTCATTGAAGTTATTCTCGTGGCTAGGTATAGTGGCATATGCCACAACCCAGTGCTCAGGAGGCTGAGGCAGAAGGATTGCCACGAAGTTTAAGGCCAGCCTGAACTATACAGTGAGACCCTGTCTCAGAAGGATGGGAGGGAGGGAAGAGAGAGAAAGTTACTCTCTTTCCCCTATTCTTGTGCCCGCTGGTCTGAGGAGCAGGTAGACTTACAAGCTGCTGTGGGTGGTTGGTGACATGTCACACAGCCAGAGGACTGGGAGCAAAGCTTGTGGATGGAATCCTGGCACCAGGAAGTGGCAGATTCTGGTTGCAGTATCCGGAGGCTCCTGTGTTCCTATTACGCAGCTCACCACTGAGGGGTGAGCTCTGTTAGTGAACAGAGTCATCAGATGTTTAGACCCAGGATGGTCAGTGCTGACTTCACTGTGGGTTTAAAACATATGCAGGGCGGCAGTATGGCTCTACATCAGAGCGCTGGCCTAGGGTGTGCAAGACCCTGGGTTCCATCCTCAGCATCATAGATTAAAAACAAATCTCGAATGTATTTTATGGCTGGTGTGTGGCTCAGTGGTGCAGCACTTGCTTAGCCTGTGCAAGGCTCAGGGTCCCATTCCCAGCATTCCACATAAACAGAGCACAAACAGTGTAAGTCAGCCTTGAAAGCTAAGGCAGCTTTGGGTACATTATCGGCCACTCCATTGCTAGCTGCTGACCCATGGGTAACTGGAAATTAAAGATACATATTGTATCTGTGGTCATAGTGCCTGTAACCGTCTTGCATTTTGCATCCTAAATGAGATAAGGAGTTGCTTTGTTCTGTTGAGCAAAAACTGTTTCACCCTCTTGCCCCTAGGTATTTGTGTACTTGCATCTTTTCTGAAAGAGGTTTCTTGGTGCACAGCCTGTGTCTGCCTTTCCTTCCTCCACATGCCTGCAGGAGCAGGAGTGTAACAGTGACTGCAGGTGAGGATGGGTCTCTAACTCACCTCTTTTTTCCCCCACCCACAGCTGTGCAAGTCTGACGTGCTGTGGGAGCAGATAGTTCAGTCGGCCTGTGGCACCATCACTCCCGACATGAGGACCCTGGCAGAGGACATGGGCTGGAGACAGATGTTTTTCACCAATAAGCTCCAGCTGCAGCGGCAGCTCCGCAAGAGGAGGCAAAGACAGGGAAGCCAGCAACAGGTGCTACTTTAGGGACACGTTTTCCTACCCACTGGGAGCTGAGGTGTGACCTTTCTTCCCTTCAGGGTCCAATTCTCTTGTGTCTTAAGACAGTGATTCTGGAGTCATCTGAAAAGCACAGAGGGTCTGCCCACAACTGCAGCAGGACCTGGTCACCAGGGCCTTTCTTGAACCGTCTCTGTCCACCTCAGATGCCAAAGCCTGGCCCTGGAACATGGGCTGGAAGACAGAAAGCCTCTCAGATCACCATGTTCCCAACACTGCTCACCCCTCCCCCCAACCCACAAGAGAGGAGTTTCCTCTATGTGTAAACAATAAATGATTGCAGATGCCTATTTTATCTAAGCATTTGAAAGGATAACTGGGCTTTGAATTTTTCCTGGTGTCATGGCGGGTTACTTTCCCATTCCTGAACCCAGTACTGCACACCAACAATTTAGGAGGCTCATGGTTTCAGAGGGTTCCGTTCATGGCTGGCTGGCTGCATAGCAGAAACATCCGGAAGGCCTGGGACCATAGTACCAAGGTCACACCTTCACGATCCAGCAAGAGCACCTAGAAGTGTATTTTACTAATCCCCTGGGCAGCTGTACACATCAAGCTTCACATGCACACATGGGGGCAGGTGCCCCAGGTGGTACTTTTGGGTGAGTGCAGCTGCCTTCTCAGCTTTGCTCTGTTAAGTTTGTATTCAGGGTCCCATCCTTGTGGGTCCGTCCCCTATGCAGACAGCCTCTGGCCTGGCCCACAGCTGGCGAAGACTGGCTCAGACCTTGCTGAGGGTACACTCCCTAGGACTGCCTCTCACTTTAAAGCCTTTTTTTTTTCTTGTTTCAGTTTGACTTGGTTTGTTCGTTTTGTTTTGTTTTGTTTTGTTTTGTTTTGTTTTGTCTTTTTTGAGACAGGGTCTTGCTGTGCAGTTCAGGCTGGCCTCGAGCTCACTTTGTAGCCCAGGTTGGTCTCGAACTCACAGTGATCCTCCTGCCTCCGCCTCCCAAGTGCTGGGGCTATAGATGTGTGCCACCATGCCTGGCTTTTGATTTGGTTTTTAAAAACAGGTTCTTGCTAAGTATTCCAGGCATCATTTTGAGAAGAATCATTTAAAGACAAGAGGAACGCTTTAAATGTAGATGTGACAGTGTTTGCAAACAGTTACACACTGATCATTACACCATCTCAACCCAGAAGAGAAAAAACTGGAGAACCAGCCTGGGTTAGTTGCTGCTCTGAACTGCCCCAAACCCATTCAGCGGTGTCGCTGAATGCCCCGCTGGATGCAAAGTCAGCAAAAGAACCACGGCAGTGCCACTTTCTAAGGAGACTGGCGCGTCTGATAAAGATTTCGCTGCAAACACAGAGGCTGAGCTAATGCCTTCTCTGCAGAGCTGTGCCTCTATCTTACAAACCGCCAGATCAGTGGCTTCCGCGGGACTTGTTGGTTGTCTTGTGTTCATCGCTCTCAGAGGCAAGGCATGCTTGGAAATAAACGCAATGGCTCTGAAACATTCAACGTGCGGTGTAACTTTCCTCCTCTAGCTGATCACGGCGCCACTGTGTCGCTACTTTTGATGCTGCAAATGCAGTGGTGGGGGAACCGCTGATGCCTTAGCTGGTGTCAAAGCAGTGACCCCAGAGCACCCAGGGTCACGGGATTCTTTACCACTCTGCAGCTGCAGCCTAACAATGGCCAGATTTGCTTGCAGACATCCTCGAGGAAACAGTAAAAGTCATTAACTTTTAGGAAGTTCTTTCCCTGAAGCTTATGTATTTTTAGTGCGCGGCAAAATGGAAGTCAGCATAGAGCACGTCCGCCACTGACCTCACAGCTTCTCTCGAGGAAAAGCAGCTATGAGGCCGAGTTGCAAGCCGCTTTGCATTTTCCATGGAACCCATGCTTATGTTTGGCGGTGGCGTTGGTCATCACTGCAGTGTTGAAAACGAGGCTGATCTCCAAGGAAAATGAGGGCAGTGTTCGTTGGCAATGGTAACATTCATGCCTTCAAAAGGGAGAGTTTTGGAGAACTTATATCAACCTCCATGAGCTTGTCCAGTGTCTGATACCTAAAGTATTCTTAAGTGCTTAAGTACTTTTTAAATAACATCAGTGGTAATTTAACACATGCAGTTTCTAGAAAATTGAAGTGGAACTGCAGAGCATCAAATCCACCCTTTTGAAGTATAATTCGGTGGTCTTCATCTGGCTACAAGGCTGTGCAATTTTCATCATTCTTGAGTTCCAGAACATTTCTAACACACCAAATAGAGACATGGGCCAAGTTGGTAGTCAGTCCCTAGCTCCCTCTCCCTGAGCCCCTGGCCACCACTTTCAGGCTCTGTGGATTTGCCAAATCAGGACATTTCACATAAATGAAGTAACTATGATTTTTATATGCACAGTAACTGATGTAAACAATATTGTGTGTTATAAAAAAAAGCATTTGAGGGGCTGGGGATTTAGCTCAGCGGCATAAGCACCTGCCTTGCAAGCAAGCGATCGTGAGTTCGATCCCTGGTACCGATAAAAAAGAAAAAGACCAAAAAAAAAAAAAAATTGGAAGGTCAATAAACTCAGTGAAATCAATAGTTTCCAAATGACCAAAGCATGGTGGTTTTTTTTCCCTTTGAGACAGTGTCTCACTAGGTAGCCCAGGATGGCCTGGAACTTTGGTGGTCTTCCTGCCTCAGCCTCACAAGTGCTGGTATTAAAGGGATGCACCACCATGCCTGGCCCAAAGCATTATGTTACAAAATGATAGATAGGAGCCCCTCAGAATGTAGGCTAAGTCATTTATAGTGATTTTTTGGTCTCACTATGTAGCCCAAATTGGCCTTGAACTTGTTATCCTCTTGCCTCCGCCTACCAAAATGCTGGTATTTAAATCAATAGATTTTAATGTAACCTCATACAAGAAATTCATTAACATGGCCACTTTTAGGAAATGTATGAATGTGGTATCAAAACTACAGGTTGGGCATGACTGTACCCTTATAATTACATCTGTAATCCCAGCAATCGGGGCTGAGGCAGGAGGATATCGGGCATAGTGAGACCTCGTCTCAAAAAGAAAAAATCAAAGCTACACTTACATATTTGCAGAGAAGCAAATGTGAGAATCCACTTTTTTTATTTTTGGCACCATGAATTGAACTCAGGACCTCACTCTTGCCAGGCAGGTGCTATGCCACTGAGTTATATCCCTGGCCCCACCTATTATTAAGATAGATATTAATGAAATTTTCAAAAATATGTAGAGCAAAGCCACTATTACTAATTTTTTTTAAAAATATGCTTTTATGAAAAGTTATATTAATAATAGGCTCATTATTTTAAAATAAAGTAATATATAACTATTTTAAAACTTTATTTTTAATTTCCAGTGAAAATATTCCTGGTTTATCTTTGGGTCCTCATTTGCCCCCCCCTCCCCCTTTTCATTTGGTTCTGGGGATTGAACTCCAGGCTTCACTATGGCTAGGCAAGCATTGTACCACCGAGCCATCTCCACACTAGTTTTTAAGTGTATGGAGATTTGTGGCTCATGTACTTGTAGTTTGAGGCTTACAAGTTCAGATAGCACCTATGGTCTGTATCTTTCATTTGACAAAGAGTTATTCCTAGTGACAGTTTTTTAAAATTTCTTTGTGTTTTTATCAATTAAAGTTTCATTTAAACAGCTGAAAAGTCAAATGTTCTTTAGCCTTGTTTTGCGTGTCACTCTAGGTGGCCATAATGGCTCTTACAGCAGGCAGGTTGCATAAGGACAAGGACTGTGTATCAGTTGCCATTGTGTCCACAGAATCCCAGTTTACTCTTATTGATTGAAAGAAGCCAGAGTGACTTCCGGTGTCATGGCTGCCCTGACCACAACGTAGTGCTGAGAATTTCTGTCCCGGCTAGACTGCTTACTGAGACTTCTACGGCCTACAGGCCTCATGGAAGGACTCTTACAGACCGGAAAGACACACAGTGATCTTTTAATATATTATGGAGGATGTCAAAGATGTAAGATCTAGCCAATTGCTCAGTACACACAATTAAGTTGCCATTTGACTCTTCTGGGAGAACATGGCGGACAGATAACAGCAACTACCGGCGGCTCTCTGAAAGACTCGGCTCAGAAGCCAGAAATGGTGCGGACTAAGGAGACATAAGCAGGTGGAGATATGCTCTGCTGACTCAGGAACGAACTGGGCTGAGAGAAGCCAACTTGGAATGCAGTCCTGGTGCTAAAACAGGAACAGAAAAGACTCGGTGTGGAGGCTGGAACCGCGCCATTGTAAGCCGCGATTTGGGTTTCCCGCCGTGCAGCGGCTGGCTGCCTCTACAGCGGCTCGGCAAGGGGAGAGACGTGCAGAAGCTCTGAGAACGGCAATCTGCGAACGGCAGGGAGGCGTGCACTGACTTATGGTGAGGTGAGTGAGAGAAACTGACACTCTACCACAGTTTGACTCCAGCAGAGGACTTTCTGGGCCCGAGCAGTCCTGCGGGAGCAGGGCGCGGTGGCGACTCCAGCCACACATCCCCCTCTCGGGCGGGATTGGTGAAAAGTGCCTGGCCTGCGTGACGCTGCCGGCGGACCTGGTAGACTGTCCCAACCCAGATCCCAGAGCCTGACGGTGGCCGGGAGGGGAGACGTGTAGGCTGCCTGGTCCGTAACTCCCTGGTGTGCAGCGGTGAGCGGGAACACCTAACTGGCGCAATTCGATCAGGCTGTGGCTGACTGGGAGAGAAGCTGGGCCTCTTATATAAGCTTGCATATATAAGGAACAGAGAAGAAGAGGCAGCATGGGAAGAGGCAGCAACAAGAAAGTCTCCTCGGCCCCCAATTCTGAGAAACAGGCAATAGCAGACACCGCACCAATACACATAAGGTACCATATAGAGAGCCTCATAGACCAATTCAGGAATGAAGTTATCAACGACCTGAAGCTAGAAGTATGCAGAATAGTTAGAGAAATGCTAAGCACCACCCAAGAAAAAACAGGTGATGGAATGGAAGAACAGAAAAAAAGGGGAGAATTGTTTGATGGAGAAAACAGAGAAAGCATAGAATACGTGAAGCAGGTTCAAAGGGACTACCAAGATACTAAGAAGTCTATCGAAGACTGGCATAACAGCTTGAAAGAAACTAAGGACAGACTATCTGAACTGGAGGGCAGACTTGTAATATGGGAGAATGAAATGAAAAACTTCTTAAAAATAACAAAGAAACAAACAGCAATAATATAAAGACAAGAAGATGATAAGAGGATCCATAACTTAAGGATTAAGAACATAAAAGAAGAAGTAGGGATGCAAACAAGTGAACTACAAAAGCTACTCACAGAAATAATCCAGGAGAATTTTCCTAATTTAGCAAAAGGTAAAGATACTCAGATGTATGAGGCATACAGGACCCCAGCTACCTACAACCCAAACAGAGCAACACCCAGGCATATAATAATAAAAATTCCAGAAATTCAATACAAGAACAGAATATTAAAAGCTGTAAGAGACAAGAAACAGACCACTTACAAGGGAACACCCATCAGAATTACAGCAGATTTCTCTGCACAAACCATCAAATCACGAAGAGCATGGGGGGAAATAATTCAAGCATTGAAAGATAATAATCTCCAGCCAAGATTGAGATATCCTGCACAACTGTCCCTGGAAATTGATGGAAAAACAAGGTGCTTCCAGGATAAAGAGGAACTGGGGGAATTTGCAACCACCAATTCAACTCTACAGAAAGTATTGCAGGATATTCTAAAAAAAGAAAAATACAAAGAACCCAGAAATAGTGGCGGGGAGGCCACAACAAATGGAGCAGAGAACAAAATGAAGAAGACAAACTGACAGCTACTGACAGAAAAAGAGCTTAACAGAAATGAGGCAGAGAAGATTGGATGATAGGAGCAGCTATTTTGGAGAAAATGACATCTTAATAGGTAATACTGATTTAGTATCATCTTGTTTTGAAGTCTCATCTAGCTTTTGTCCTTCTGTCTCCAATGGTCTAAATAGGCTGTATCTTATTGGATTTTATTATGTACGATAGTATAAGCAAAAACCTTTTAAAGACAAGGAGATTATACAGAAACCATTGTTCATTTTCTGTTAGTCGATTCTAAATACTCTGTAATGCTGTCATTCTCTTGAATGGTTTTACATTGTTTTGATATACTTAATGCTACAGTATACGAAGTTGTACTCAAGGATTTCAAAGAAAGAAACAATATGGTAACTACTTTTAGGTTAGGATTATCTGGTGGTGAAACACTATTCTGCTTAAATGGTTATGTTTTGATCTGCGCTGTTTCGTTGTTATGCCCTCTTTTATCTCAATCTCCACTCCATTATTTACTTTTTTATCTTTATCCTTTTAATTAAAGGAAAAAAATAGCAGGATATATTATAGTAACCCATTTTGACTTTTCATTACCTTGATTCAAAGCCCTGTATTACTCTCACCATCTGGTTTTTAACTGATGTTCCCCTATTCTGTTTTGCTGGATAGTATCAGGTTCGAAAGTTTAGGCATCAGCTGTGAAGATAATGAGATTCATTATGACGCCCATTCTTGTTGACTTTTAGCTACTTTTGAAGACCTACAATGTCTCCAATGTTTTGGTTTTGTCGGTTTTATTCTTTACTGTTTTGTTCAATTGTATTATAACTAATGATATAGGCAATTCTATTAGAGATAGCGGGAGACATTATGGTAACCATTGTTGATCACCTGTATTATGTTTTTACATTATCTATTATGTCCACCCTTTTGACTTGACCGATTCTGTTCTGTTATGTCACATTTGGTTTTACTCTCTTCCAAAAAAGTAATAAGAACCGTGGGAGCAATGAAACCCAAAATGTGTAATAGTCATGGTACAAAAGAGAGGAAAAGAAAGTACTCTAAACTATATAACTGCATGTATATTTAAGTGTATAAGATAGAAAATGATATCACAGAGTTTTATTGGATCAATGAACAGAACTGTTTGCAGTATCATTGATGGAATGTCCACTTTACAAGCTTTAATTTTGTGACTTGAACAATTATTTCTAAGATGACAATATGTAATCCATTAACTAGTGATTTCCTACTGTTCATTTTTTTTCTGTAAATCTGTATAACTTGTACCCTTTCCCTGCTTTTTTTTTTCTTTTCTCCTTAAATAAAATTAAAAAAAAAAAAAAAAAAAGAAGCCAGAGTGAAGTGCAAAGACCCAGTAGAATAAAAGTGCTATACACAGTGAGTGCCCCAAAGATACTAACTGACCCGTGAGTGTCAGGACAGGTATTGAAACTGATTGCAGTGTTTGGCTCTTAAATACCTACCAGTCAATTGATGAATTTTTCAGATAAGGTAGATATTCGCTGCACTCCCCAAGGCTGTAGCTCTCTCAGTGGTAAGGACACCCAGGAAGTCACATTTACAATAGTTTCCGATACCCACCTTGTCCCCAAATTTTCTTCCTGAGGGCTACCTTACCTTGTGTTTTATCTTAGTCAGCTTTCTTGTTACTGAAACCCAGCCCCTCATACCCACAACTTGAGGTCAGGTTTCATCTGGCTCAGGGTCTTGGGGGATTTGAACGCCAAGCTGGCTGGCTCCAAAGCAGAGGCCTCACGCTGGAAAGGCCTGGGGAGCAGAGTAGAGGAACAGTTCAGAGAATAAAGGCAGGGACAAGAGAGCCCCGAGGCCACACCTCCACACCTCCACACCCACACCCAGAATCAAGTTAGCACAAGCCCTGCAACCTGCGGCCACTTATGCTTTTCCTAGCCAGGCTTACACATAAGTAAGATTTTATAAGTGTGAATGAACTTTTGTTCATTGTGAGTGTCCTACACATATTATTCTATCTTGCATATTTTCCTCTCAAGATGAAAAAGACTGGAGACTTTTCCTATTTCTTAATACCCACTTATAGATTGATCCTTTTCTCCCAAAAGAATGACATACACTTCACAGTCAGGGGACCACAGAGAACCATAGGAACCATAAGGACAGAGAGGGCCCTTAGCCTGTTACTCATTAAATTCTTGATTTGTGTTTTCTTCAGCAGTGATCAGGGACCCAGAAGCTGCTCCCATCTTGTGTAATAATCCCCCCTTGTGTAATTTATACTTTTATGTCCAAGAGGGAGACAGAGTCTTCGCCTGGGCCTACAGATGTCCAATGTGTAACTCTCATTTTGTATCTGTCTCCTTTATAGGGGCACATCCTTGCTCAGCTGGTCTTACAGGCATATTAATCATTTAGAGAGCGTCTCCATAAAGCTGGCAATACAAGGCTGATTGGTCCTAAATGTACCTAACCTATTTCATTGTCAATACTGAAGACAACAGCCGGATGTGGGGGTGCACACTTGTAATCCCAACACTCAGGAGGCTAAGACAGGAGGATTGCTGCAAGTTCAAGGCCAATCTGGGCTACAAAGTGAGTTCAAGATCAGCCTTAATTTTGTCTCAAAAAAGAAAAAAAAAAAAAAAAGGGACATCCAACTACCAGTAAGCCCTCAGAAAATCTCCAGTCATTTCCTTAAACTGATGATGATCACCTGGGATTCTAGCAGAGTCACTGCAAAACTGAGACTGCTTTAAGCAGAAACAGTCACCTCATGGAGCCAGGATTAAGTGGCATGGACATCTTGGAGCTGCCTTGTAAAAGAACTGAGACCATGATCAGCCAGACCCTCGCACACCCCTGCTGGTCTGTTCCTTGTTAGTGGGTCAGCCTGACCCTCTCCTTTGGAGCTTCAGCTTGAGGAGCTATTTTTTCTTTCTTCCAACTCTGTCTAATAACTGGCATGCATGTGTCACTGACACATCCTGAAACGCTTTTCTGCAATGATGTCAAAAGCCTGGCCAGGTCAGCTGAGTCTGCGACTTCTTGTCACCTTGTCACCTTGGACCCTGTTCAACAATAATCCCATACTTTAATAGATGTGTATTTTTTCCTAGTCTTTTGTATAGTAACTGATATGGCAAGATATTGTTTTTCATTTGTTTATTCATATGTAGAAAAAATTTTAGAAACACATTAGCTGGATTAAAATAGAGCTGGCTATCCATTTTAAATTGAACATTTGGATCTGATTTTTTTTTTTTTTTTTTGTCTTTTTGAGACAGGTCTCACTATGCAATTAAAGCTAGCGTTGAACTTACTTTGTAGCTCAGGCTGATCTTGCACTTGCAATGATCCTCCTGCCTCAGCCTCCTGAGTGCTGGGATTACAGGCATGCACCCACATGCCTGGCTGCTGGATCTGACACTTTTTAAGTCAATGTTTTTTATTCTTTCCCTCAATCTTACTAGAACTTATTTGTTGGGGGGGGGGCTGCTGAGGATCGAGCTCATGACCTGATGCTTGCCAGGCAGGTGCTTATGCCACTGAGCTGAATCCCTGGCCTTGCTAGAACTTTTTAATGCATTTATTTAAATAATTAAAAAAATAAACATTTACATAATAGGCTCAATACTTAACAGTCATTCCAGGTGATTCTATCTGGGTAGTGATTCTATCTGGTATGATTCTATCATAGACAGCTAGGTTAGGTAGGAATATTCCAGGCAGTCAGAGCTGGGCTCTCTAAGAAGCTGGTGCAGAAAATAAGAGTGCAGCAGAGCTGTGGGTGCAGGTACATTTGGTGAAGGCCAGGCTTTAAGACAAAGACGAAGTGACTATACCTACATACCTCCCCGAGGGACAAACAGTAAGACTGATGTTCTAAACAGGCATCAGTCACCCAGGTAGGAGACCAAGACCCAGACCCATCCCTCCCAGCTAAGGTTCTTTCCGTACACGCTTGCCATGTACTTGTTTCCCCGTTGGATCGATATTACCTAAGCAACTTTATCTGTAATCTGATTGGGTGATCATAGTTTTGTCTCACCTTACACCTACTTCATAATTTTGTGCTTGCCTCCCAAATTTGCTGTATAAAACTTCCTCTGAGAAGTGAGCTAGTGGGCAATCTACTTTCTGGGTCTCCTTCTGTCTGTCTTAGAAGCTATCTTTCCCTTCATAAATATTTCCTACTCAACTGTTGTTCTTCAAAATTCATTCTTTGATTTGGGGGAACACAAATAGCATATCAGATATCAGCAGGTTGGGAGTTATAATATTTCCTTTGTATCATTTGGACCACCTTATGTCATCCCTATATCAGATCAATGACTACAACTAAAGAAATACTGTTCCAGGTAATCAAACATTAGCTACATTTCAGGAGTGCTTCCTTAGGAGAAAACAAAAAACAAAAACCAAACAACTCCCCCACCAGAAAACCCACCCTGATATCTTATGCAAAACTCACTGACCATTTTTAAAGAGGACAAACTTTATTTAGATATATGTAAATAAAAATCATTTGGGAATATGAGGGAGCAATCATAAAGCACATGATATATACAATTAACCCTTTATGATATTTTAAAGAACTATGTATAATAACAAATAGGAAATATTTGCTGTAATTCTTCATATTATCCTGATGTCAACATGAGTATTGCAAGCAGGTCTTATTCTATTTTTGTAAAATGGGAACTCCCACCGATCCAGTAGTCGTCACCATTTCCATAAATACAGTAAGTAGCCAAACTGTCCGAAGTGCACGTGAGCGGGTCTAATTTGAATGGGATGAAAGCTGAGTGGCCGGATGGAAAGTTCCTTTTCCTGATGCATCCCCAGCAGTGTGAGCATCCAAACACAGTAGCACCATTCAAAATTTGTAACACTGCGGAAGTGTCAGAAAGTGAAAGTAGTGACATTTTAGAACATGCACTGTGTCCTTGGATCTAATCCTCCAGTTTTACAGTACACATACATAGCACTGCCTCAGCTTTCAGGGATCCTGTTACCAGAATGGACGACTGGCTTCTTCCAAGGCAGCCAAAGCCTCTCACGGTAACAGAGAGGTTGCAGTGTTAAACTAAATGGCGAATGACGTGCAGTTTATTGTCTATAGTAATTTCCAGGCAATTCTCAAGTCATTGGAGGTAATACTGAGTGTGTATACTAGGCATGCTTTTGTTTTGCCTTCTCTTTAGCTGCCTTTTATTACTATTGTTTTTTGGTGATCTTTTCGTTGTACCATCCTCCCACTAGACTTTAGAGCAGAAAATAATGGAGATGCAACAAAAGGAAACTTGTCTATTTAATTACTGTTTAACAGCTCAGAAGGGTTTGGAATCCAACTGAAATCGGTCTCACATTAAGCTTCATTAACGTTCTATGGCCCCAATTCCTAATAGCATTCCTATTGTAATTACCAAGGATAACTGAGAACAGGTTGTATTCACTTTCGATAAATTTGACCCCACACACAGCTGTGACATTGAAGGATTTATTTTGCATGATGAGCAAATCGTAAGTAGAAATTTATTTCCGTTTTTGCACTGTTGCAGATGGAACCCAGGGCCTTGCACATGCTAGGCAAGTGCTCGCTCCTGGAACTGCACCTCCTGCCCTGCAAGGAGGCGTGTGAATACTTTTTTTTTTTTTTTGTCTTTTTCTTTTTTATCGGTACCAGGGATCGAACTCACGACCGCCTGCTTGCAAGGCAGGTGCTTATGCTGCTGAGCTAAATCCCAGCCCCGCGTGTGAATACTTTTAAGAGAACATGTAAACAAGTAAGGCAGCCAGAAACTTCACAATGATGCTGGGAAGAACATTCTGCAGTCTGGAAAGTGTTTCTCTTAGAAAAATAGACATTTCAGATAAAGAAGGGTATTATTTGAATTGTGGATCACAGTTGTCTCCTGTGTGAAGTCAATGAAGAGAACGTGTTTGTTTTAGAACTGTGCCGAGCTCCGGCAACAGAGGCCCCAGAAGTGGGCTGCTTGTCCCTGCTGCCCCACGGCTCGGGGCACTGACCTCTAGACCAGGAGCTTTCTGTTCATTACTGCACACTGAGACAGTCTTAACATTTCGGGTGAACAATTGCTTTCCAAGTGGCTTAACCACGCACTTTACATATCACGAGCAATTAGTCCTACAATCTACTTCTTGGGCAGCTGAAACTTGGGAAACATTGTTGAAGGCTTCAGATCACACTAATAGTCTCAGACAGAGGCCAATGAAATGAATAAAAATGCCTGACTCGTAGCCCTTGATTCGTGGGATGTGTGTACAAATACAACTTCTGTTAAGGAAATCATTCATATGATTTATTTGTCAAGGTACTGTCTGAGGAATCACTTTATTACTGAATTTATCTTTTATTCCTGGATAATTGAATTAGAATTGATGGTATCAACCATCTCGTAGAGGAAGATCAGTAAATCCTCCTGCAAGATTCTTTTGTAAAAATATAAACTGTTTCTTTAATTGTACTAAATGGTATTACCTTTGAAATTGGAGCCTGCCTTTGCATTATACCAGTAGATCAATAATTCCTGTAATGATTATTCCATATTATTGTTGTGCTTGAAATTACATTTATCTGTATGCTTTCAGGAAGCATGCAGAGAGTTTACAAAGAAGTAATTGAGCTGAAAAGCTTTTATTCCCTGTCTATGTTTATAGATAAAATACTCTTCCTGGTGGATGAGAGAGAGCAGTTTTTGTTGTTTATTTTTTGCTTCTTGAGACAGGGCTTCACAAACTAGTTCAGGCTGGCCCTGAACTGACTTTGTAGCCCAGACTGGCTCTGAACTTTCAGTGATCCTCCTGCCTCAGCCTCCCAAAGACTGGGATTATGGGAATGCATCACCAAGTCCAGCAAAAGAGAGTAGTGTTTTTAAAAGCTGTAAACTGTCACCTCTGAAAACTGCAGTCTTTGAAACCTTCCAGCACTGCCTCTCCCCAGACCAAGAGGTAGTGCCGCTTCCAAATGAAGCAGGGACAGTGACAATTCTGAGGGACACGGCCCTGCATCAGTGGTTCCTCGTGGTACAGGAGGTAGGCATGGTGCCAGGAGCCATCCACAGGGGGCCCACGTGACACTAGACAGGCGAGCCGTCTGTGTGTGCTCTCCTGGCTTGTTCTATAATTTGGACACACGGCTGGATGAGCAGGGAGAGTATTCCCACCATGTAAAGCAAACCACAAATATAGAAGGAAAAGTCGTATTTTTGTGTGATGTCGTAGATCCACCCTACAAAACAAAAAAGAAAATATTCAGCATTACACAATTGGTAAAACTCAAGTACACCAAGCAGGTGTGTATCACTATTTTTTTATAAAAGTGTATTTATTGCATGTTATTGTTTTTCAGTAGTTGGGCTGAACCCCGGGCAAAGTATTTTGTGCCTGTTTGCTTGCTTGCTTTTTCTTTCTTTTTTCTTTATTTAGACACAGTCTCATCATATAGCCCTTGCTGGCCTCAAACTTGTGGGGATCCTCTTGCCTCAGTTTCTTGAGTGCTGGGATTACAGGTCATCACATCTGACTTCTTGTTTGTGTTTTGGGACAAAGTCTCATTACAACCCAGAATGGCTTTCAACTTGTGATTCTCCTGTTAGCCTTCAAATAGACAGGACTGCAGGCAGGTGACACCAGGTCCAGATCAAATACAATTAAATGTTATCATCTAACACGTTAATATAATAATCTTATTAGGCTACTACTCGCCTTTTTATTACTATATAAACTGCGTGGGTTCTAAGCCACTGATCTATAATTATTTGGTACATCAGTATGAAATAAAATGTTTGTCAACTAAAGTATGATTCAGTGGATTTTTTTGCATTTTAAAAATTTTATTGGTCTATTCTAGAGATACATAATGATAACATTCATCACAGGGAATTTAACCTGTATTGCTGCTGCTTTTTCCCACTGACCTCCCGGCATTTCAACCCCCTTCCCTCCTTATTTACAGAAGCTTTGTTTCAACTATTTTCCTTCTAATTTTTCTTTTTTTGTCCTTTCTTTCTTTTTCCCTTCCCTGCTCCTTTGTTCCCCTTCCCCTGAACATTTTCTTTCCATTTCCCAAAACCTATTATACATTTTGGTCCTTATTTACACTTTTGGTTTCTTACACCAGGGAAAGGATGCAGTATTTACACGTGTGTCTGACTGATTGCACTTAAGAATATGGTCTCAGGGTGCATTCATTTACCTAGAAATGTTTCAAGATTACCCTTCATTACGGCAGAGTCACATAAAAAAATCATCTATAGTCATTCATTGGCTCATGGACGTCAGGGCTGCTTCCGTGGTTTAGCTATGAACTGTGCTGCTGTGAACATGGGTGAGCATAGGTCGCTGTTGTATGATGCTTTTAATTCTTTTGGGAAGATACCAAGAAGGCACTATCTGGGCCAAACAGAACCTCTAGTTTAAGTTTTTTGAGGAATCTCCACACCATTTTCCACAAAGGTTGCACCAGTCTACACTCCCACCAACAGTGGAGAAGGGTTCCTTTCTCCCCACAGCCCTGCCAGCGTTGGTTATCGGTTGACTTCTTTTTTTTTTTTTTTTTTTTTGTCTTTTTCATTTTTACCAGTACCAGGGATCGAACTCACGACCGCCTGCTTGCAAGGCAGGTGCTTATGCTGTTGAACTAAATCCCCAGTCCCTATTGGTTGACTTCTTAATAACAGCCATTCTTTCTGGGGTGAGGTGGAATCACAGTGTTGTTTTAATTCGTGTCTCTCAAATGATCACTGATGTTGAACATTTTTTCATATATTTATTTGTCTGAGAAGTGTCTGTTATTTCGGATGCCCATTTCTGGACTGGGTCTTTAAATCTGGGGGGGTGTCCTGATACATCTATCTATCTATCTATCTATCTATCTATCTATCTATCTATATATATGTATGTATATGCATATATATTTCAAGACAAGGTCTTGCTATGTAGCCCAGGCTGACCTCAAACGCATGGTGATCTTCCTGCCTCAGCCTCCTGAGTCCTGTGACTACAGACATGTGCCATTTTTATATATTCTAGATATTAGTCCTTTATCTGAGGAACTGGCAAAAAATTTTTTTCTCACAGTCTTAGTTACTTTTCTTATGGATAAGACAAAATACCTGTACCCAAAGTTAAAGGGGAAAAGGTTATTTAGCTCACAGTTTGTAGAGGTTTTATTTAATAATCAGCTGGCTCCAAGGCAGAGGGGCAACAGCTCATGGTAGCAGAAGATAGCAAAAACAACAAGAGAGAGCAAAATGTGTCTCTTTTTGTCCCTTATAGTGTATCCAGTCTACCAGGGTTAAGGCAGTGCCAGTCCAATTCATGGACGATCTTGTAATCACCTACTCTTAGTCTCAGCCTGTACTACCTCAATCCCAAAACCACCCTATGACCACATGAGGCTTTGTGGGGACATCTAGACACAAACCATAACACCGCGCATCCCACCTGCTAGGACACATTGCCTCGAATCATTCTGCTGCCCAGCCCAACACCCTTGAGACACCCGTCCTGCTTCTTTCCACAGCTGGTGCCCCTCTACATAGCACCCTGCCCCTTCCCCTTCCTCTCAGGTGTACGTGGACAGAGGAGACACAAACCTCTTTTTCATCCTTCAAATGGGCAGGCCTCTCTCTACGGAAGTTTAAAACCACATGAACCATGTTTGGTTGCGATTTTATTTTTAACCTGGAGTAACCTGAAGACCCATTGTGCTTCAGGGAGTCACCGAGCCCCCATGCTGGCTGCATGTCCACGGAAGATGCTGGCTTCTCTTACAATGCAGCTTGGTTACTCTGCTTTGTATAAGAGAAACCAAGCACCAGGGCAGCCACAACCACTTGGTCCACTTGGCGAAAACCCTTGAGGGTTGGTTTGAAGATTTAGCCACTCCCTCTAGATTCAGCTACCTCCAAATCATAGCTGACTGTGTGTTGTCTCTTCCTATTGTTGGCAGTTTGTCTTACTATGCAAAAGTGTTTTCATAAGAGGAGATCCCAGCTGCTGATTTTTCATGACATTTCCTGTCTGGGGGTTTGTTCATAAAGTCTGCTTATATCAATGTCATCAAGAGTTCTTGCTATTCTATCTTCCAGTTTCTGTTCTAAAATTTAGATCTCTGACTCATCTGGAATTTAGTTTACTGCATGATGAAAGATATGGGTCTAGTTTTAATCTAGTGGCATGTGGGAAGCCAGTTTTTCCAGAACCATTTATTGAACAGTTTGTCTTTCTTCAAGTAAAGGTGTTTGACTGCTTTGTCAAAGATAGTGTGTTTGGAGTTGGTTCTGCACCTTCTAATACGTTTTTCTGATCTTTGGATCTAGTTTTTTTTTTTTTTTTTTGGCCAATACCATGCTGTATTTTTTTGTTGTTGTTATCACAGTAATTATATAATTTCAAGTCAGGGATTGTGATGCTCCACCTCTTGCCTTTGTTGACCAGAACTGCTTTTTCTATTCTCTGTCTCTTCTGGTTCCAAATAAATGTTAGATTGTTTTCTCTAATTCTGTGATATACTATTGGTATTTTGATTGAGAGTGCATTAAATTTGTACAACAATTCTGCGAGTATGGCCATTTTTCACTATATTGGTTCTTCCTTCCCAAGAACAAGGGATATATTTCCATTTTCTGATATCCAGTTCAGTCTCCTTTTTGGAGTACTGTAGCTTTCAATGGAAAGATCTTTTACATCCTTTGTTAGATTGATTCCTAGCTATTTCATTTTTTTTGATACTATTGTATAGGTGCTATCTCCCTAATAGCTGTCTCAGTGAGTTTGTTATTTCTATAGGAAAGCTATTGATTTTTGACTGTTTGCTTTGTATCCAGCAATGTCACTGAATTTGGATATTAAATCTAGAAGTCTTCTGGTGGAGTTTTTGGGGACTTCTATATAAAGTATCATGTTATCTGAAAATAATGATGATTTAATTTCTTCCTTTCCTATCCTTCTTCCTTTTATTTCTTTCTCTTGTTTAATTGTTCTGGCTATATTGAATAAGAGTGGTGAGTGTACATCCTTGTCTCATTCCTAATTTTAGAGTGAAAACTTAACACATTTTGCCCATTTAGTATGATGTTAGCTGTTGGTTTGTCATAGATGTTCTTATCAGATTGAGATAAAGAGCATCCATTCCAATTTCTGTGGGATTTTTCTTTTATCATGAATGGGTGTTCAACTTTGTCAATACTTTTTCTCCAACTATTGAGATGATCATGTTTTTGTCCTTAGCTCTGTTAATGTGATATATTACATTTATTGATTTGCATATGTTGAATCTCTGCATTCCTGGAATAAATCCTATTTGGTTATGGTGTATAATCTTCTTGATGATTTGCCGCATTTGTTTGCCAGCATATTATTGAGAATTTTTGCATCTATGTTCATTAGGGAAATTGGCTTGTAGTTCTCTTTTTTGGCTAGATCCTTTTCTGGTTTTGGTATTAGCATAATGTTTGCTTCCAGAAGTGAATTAGGGAGTATTTCTTTTTTTTTTTTTTTTTATCTGTACCGGGGATTGAACTCACGACCACGTGCTTGCAAGGAAGGTGCTTATACCGCTGAGCTAAATCCCCAGTCCCTAGGGAGTATTTCTTCTCTTTCAATTTCATTAAAGAGTTTGAGAAGTAGCAGCATTAGGTCTCTAAATTTCTTGTAGAATTCAGCAATGAATCTGTCAAGGACTGGGCTTTTCTTTGTTGGCAGGTTTTTAATTACAGCTCCAACTTCACTGGCTGATATTGGTTGACTTAGAAGCTTTGTATCTTCTTAAATCAGCTTTGATACTTCATATGTACCTAGGAATCTTTCTATTTCTCCTATGTTTTCTATCTTATTAGAATTAGGTTCTCAAAGAAGGTATAGATGGTTTAGATTTTTTCAGGATTTGTTGTGATTTTACTCTTTTCATTTCTAATTGCATGGGTTTGAGTCTTTTCTTTCCTTTTTTTTTTTTTTTTGATAGGGCAACTAAGGATTTTTAAATCTTAGTTAATCTTTCCAAAGAACCAACCCTTTGCTTGAGTCTTTGTGTTGTTTTCTTAGTTTTCACCACATTGATTTCTGCTCTGATCTTTATAATTTCTTCCCCTGTATGAACTTTGGGCTTCACTTGCTCTTTTTTTCCTAGAAGCTTGAAGTTCAACATTAGGTTATTTGAACTCACCTTTTTAAAAATGGGAAATCACTGCTATAAATTTCCATTTTAGGACTGCTTTCACTGCATCCAATAAGTTCATATATGTTGTACTGACATTATTGTTCAATTATAGAAACTGTCTAATTTCTTCTTTAATTTCATCTGTGACCCACTGGTTCCTTAGGAAGGTGTTATTTAATTTCTATGTGTTTAAGAGATTATTATGGTTTCTTTTGCCATGGACTTAAAATTTCATTGCACTGTGGTCTGATAATATGCATGAGAGAATTTCAGTTCCTTTGCATGTGCTTAGCCATGCTCTATGAGCTAATAATAATATGTGGTCTATTTGGAGAATGTCTCTTGTATAGTTGAGAAGAATGTGTATTCTGATACTGTGGGGTAGAACATTCTGTAGACATCCACTAAGTCCATTTTTTCAAAACTTTGGTTTAGTGCTGATATTTCTTTGTTGATTTTTTTTGGTCTAATTGTTCTATTTGTAACAATGGGATACTGAAATCCTTCACTACAACTGTACTAGTGTTTGAGTTTTATTTATTTATTTTTTAAGACTGGGTCTATGTAATTTAGGCTGGCCTTGAACTCAGTTATGTAGCCTGGGCTGGCTTCAAACTCAGTGATCCTCTTGCTTCAGCCTCCTGAGTGCTGGGATTACAGGCATGTAATCCAACCTCTGGCTGTTTATTTGATTTTTCATGTCTTTTAATATTTTTATATAGTTGAGTGTGCTGATATTTGGTGCATATACATTTATGATTATTTTCTCTTAGATTATTCCTTTTTATAAGGGTGTAATTAACTTTTTTGTCTCTCTTACTCAGTCTTGACTTGAAATCTACTTTGTCTGCAAATAGAATAGCTACCCCTGCTTTTTTTCTGGGTTCCTGTCACTTGAGTATCATTTGACATTCAGTGTATAAATTTTTAAATTATGTGTGGGTTTTTGGTTTTGTTTTTTGGTACCAGAGATTAACTCATGACCTTGCACTTGCCAGGCAGGTGCTGTGCCACTGAACTATATCCCTGGCTTAAGTGTGTTCTTGTACGCAGCATATTGTTGGACCTTTTTTCCCCCAATCTTTTTGAGACAAGAGTCTGGCTATACTGTTCAGGCTGGATTTGACCTTACTTTTACTTTGTAGCCTAGGCTGGTCTCAAATTTGCAACAATCCTTCTGCTTCAGCCTCCTGAGTGCTGGAATAACAGGTGTGCACACTACTCCCAGCTTAGGTCTTGCTTACTGATGCATTCTGGAAGTCTGTTTCTTTTGTTTGGTGAATTGAAACCACTGACATTTATAATTGTAAGTGATATATATTGACTATGCTTGTCCCGTTATTATCCTATTTTGGCTTCCTTTTTTCCACTTTCTGTTTAATTTCTTGCCTTGTCTGGTGGATGCCTTCTGTTGGGGTTCATAGAATTTTAGTCCTTGGTATCTTTTTCTAGAGTGTTCTTCTGAACATTTTGGAGTGCTGGTTTGGTGATCATAAATTTCTTTAGGTATTCTTTGTCATGGAAGTATCTAATGTCTCTGTCAATTTTGAAAGCTATTTCTTGGAAATACATCGACCTGGGAGTTTTCTTTTAGGGCTTGAAATACTTCAGTCAAGCTCTCCTTAACTTGAGGGTTTGTGTTGAAAAGTCTGCTGGGATTCTGATGAGCTTTCCTTTATAAGTGATTTGTTTGTTTTTTCTAACAGCTTTTAATATTCTGTTCCTGCACTGAATTTCTGGAATCCTGACTATTACTTGTCATAGTGTACATGTTTTTTGATCACAGCTAATTGGAGTTCTAAATGTCAACTCATTCATCTGATGTCAAATTCTTCCCTCCTTGGGAAGTTTTCTGCCATGACTTCTGTGAACAGTTATTTGTTTATTTATTTTTGGTCTTTTGCGCTATCTCAAGCTTTTTTACTGCCTCCAATCAACATTATGTCATTCTTCTTTGCTTCATCTAACAGCTGTTGGATTGATTTTTTTTTCGTGGTCCCTTGCTATTTTTAAGAAATCTTTCTTTTTATGATTGTTAACCACTGTTTTGCCTTCTAGATCAGATATTCTGTCCTTATATTGATTCATTCTGCTGTATATGTTTCATGAATTCTATTTCTTTGTATTTGGGCGGTTCATGCTTCCTATAATTTTCCCAAGGTCCTCTCTCTTTTTTTTATCTGTATCTGCTCTAGAGGCACTGAGCATCTCTTTCACCATAGCCACCATCTCTGTAGTGATCTGAGAGATTAGTAATTTTCTAGATCTGCATTCATCTGCTTTGTTACTTTTGCTGTTACTTCTTCAGAGATTCTGGGGCTGGCTGGGTGGCTTTCCAATTGTTCGTGCCTTCGTTTTAACCCTTTTGGCCTTCTGGCCACAAGGACAGTAAGATAAAGATGAAAGTTAAGCCACTGTGTGTGCTTAACCATGATTCATTACAGGAGCAATATGAAACTAACACATGGTTAGAGCCAGCCAGTGGATGCATTCTGTTAGACCTATTATATGTGGTTTCCTGGAAATCTAGAAACACCACCAAAGAGTACAGATTCCAAGGTCCTTTTGGGGAAAAACCAGTAACAGCAGAAGAACTGGAAACAAATTCTGGGAAATTTCTCTTTCTTTTCTCTTCTTTTTCTTTCTTTTCCTTTTTTTTTTTTTTTTTTTTGAGACAGGGTCTTGCTATGTAATTCAGGCTGAAATTGAACTCACTATGTAACCTAGGCTGGTCTTGAACTTGCAGCAATCCTCCTGCCTCAGTCTCCATGTGCTAGGATTACAGATGCACGCCACCATGCCCAGCTAGCATTTATTTATATTTATATATTTGTTTTTATATATTGAACAAGAACAACTGGGTCCCCCACTGCTCTGCCACTAAATTATATTCCTAACTCAATATTTCTTACTTTTTAAAGTTCTTATTTACTTATTTTGTGGTGCTGGAGGTTGAACTCAGGGTATTGCACATGGCAGGCAAATGCTCTACCACTGAGCTACATCTTCAGCCCCATGCTCAGTCCCTTTTAGAGACAGGTATTAGTTGGGTCCAGGCAGACATCACCTTGTTTAGATGGCACAAGGGCCCAGAGCACAACATCACCCCTATCTGCTTTTACCTTCTCATGCCAGCATGACGGTAAGGTTCCTAAGCTCATCTCTATAACCTTTGGAAGGATGACTTTAACTTGCTAAAACTTATAAACAAGAAGTTAGGGAGCAAGAATGAGAAGAGGAAAGGAGCAGCTAGACTAACCAGCACTTCCTTCTCATTTGGACTTGGGCTTCATGACACGAAGGGGAGTCTCCACCACCACTTACTTACCTGCACACGCTCTGAGCACTGAGCATCTGGGGATCTTACCTGCAAAGGGTGGGCCCAGCAGGGCAGAGACACCATTAGCACAGATGATGATGCCGTAGGCATTGGCCAGGTGTTCAATGCCGACCAGGTCCTCCGTCACCACGGGCATCAGGGAGAAATACCCACTGGAGAACCCGATCAGCGCGCAGATGATCGCCAGGCCGGTGTATGTGTGCATCAAGGGAAGAATAAAAATGCTGAGGACCAGGGTGAAGTTGGCCATCAGGAAGACATTCCAGACGCTTATGCAGGGCAGGTCAGCCATGAAGCCCAGGCTCACTTTCCCCAAGATGTGCAGTATTGCTATAATCGAAGTTAGCGGGAAAACATCATTTTGCTCCGCTAAGTTATACAAATTGACTATTTCTGGGAGGTGAATAAAAGGGATGACAAAGCTGCTGTAGGCAAACAAAGCCCAGAAAATAAAGGCTACAAACATCCGATTAGTAAAGAGTGAAGCTGTCCCAAAATAGCCTGAGTACCATTCCCGGAAGCCCTTCCGGACACGCAGGGTGATCTGGCTCAGGGTCTTCAGAACTCGAAGGGCACACAAGTTTTTCCTGGGCTGGACCCGACCTTGGCACTCTTGGGCTTGAAGGTCGCAGAGGTTCCCCTCGTTTCTGAGCACACCGTCCTTCTCTTCTGTACCGCCCAATTGTCCACTTGACTTTACAGATTCTATGGAGGGAGCCGGGATTACTTGGAGATTTTTCCCTCCTGCATGACCTCCGTCTTTCCCAGGAGGCAGGGGCCTCATGAGCGCCCCACACACACACAGATTCAAGGACACGGCGCCTTGGATGAACATGGCATTGCGCCAGCCGTACTCTGCGCACAGGTATTTGAGCAACACAGTCATCAGGAACGTCCCGAACCCTGTCCCTGTGGTGCTGAGCCCCTGGGCCAGGGCTCGTCTCTTCTGGAAATATCTTCCCACCATGACCACTGCGGGCAGGTAGGCCATGCCACTGCCAAGGCCTGCAGAGGGGTTGGAAGAAAGCCCGCAGAACATCAGTGAGCAGGGCATGAACACAGCAGTTTAAAGGTCCCTCAGCACAACTAAACACCTGAGAAAATCAACTTATAAGGTGGGAAGGTTAATTTTGGCTCAGGGTTTCAGAGTTTTCAGCCCATGGTTGGCTCACTGTGTTGCTTTTGGGTCTGTGGGATGGCAAAAGATGATGGAGCGGGGAACACCTGGTGGATTAAGCTTACTTGCCTTGTAGTGTGCGGGAAACAAGGAAAAAGAGGGAGAGAACACACTTCCAAAGACTTAACCGCCTTTCTCTAGGCCCCACCCCCTAGAAGTACTACCACATTCCAGTAGCACCACAGGATGGGGACAAGCATTCACACATGGGCCGGTGGGGGAGATTCAACACCCAAACTGTCACACCTGCACTCCCTTACATTGGTGTTCAGCCATACTTTTTATAATATTATGTTATGGTCTGCAGTGGCAGCCCTGCCAGGCCCAGGACACTCAGCCACAGTGCTTTGGAAAAGAACTGGTTGCTCCAAAGCCTCTGCTGTGTTGGCCGTGGTGGTTGCACTTTGGGCCTAGCAAAGTGTTTCTGTCCAAGAGAACGAGGATACACTCCAGACAATGTGCAGAAACTCAGGAATCGGCTGATTTGTTCGCAAGTCAAGGAAGAGTAACACACAGGAGTACACATAGCTGCGTGAGGACAACAATGATTTTAAAACGTAGCTTTGGAAAACAGGAACAATCATTTATATTTGCAAAAATAAGATGCTGGTGGGGAAGGTGGGTTTGTCAGGGGCCACATGGGCTGTACAGGACCCCTCTGTACTTTCTACTCAGTTTTGCTGAGAATCTATAGCTAGTCTAAAAGTGAAGTCTACTAATGATAGAAAGTAAAACAAAATGTTCAGTGGTGTCCACACCAAAAAGCCAATTTTAAAATGAAACTCTCCTGCTGACTCACCACCCCTACTCACAATTTCACTCTGTTCTACCCTTTTTCTTTTTATTTCTTTGTTTTGTTTTGTCTTTCAAATCCTACTCTTTTTCTTATTATGGTTCAGGTCTAAAATGCTGCCCAAGGCCTCCTGTATTTGGAAGGTGATTGCATTATAGGGTACTATAGCTGGCTGTTAGGAGGTTGGGCCTTTGGGGAAGAGGAGGGTTTTGGGGACCTGTGACAGTTAATTTTGATGTGTCAACTCAAGTGGATTACAAAATGCCTAGTGGCTTAGCGTAGCACAGTTCTGGGTGTGTCTGCAGACAACTGACACATAGGCCAGCAAACTAAGGATAGGAGACCTACCCCAGACATAGATGGCCATCCAAAGGCTTGAAGCCTGGGAAGAATAAAAAAGGAAAAGAAGGAAGTCTTTGGAGGAGCTCTGGACATCGCCACTGCCTTTGGACGGTCATTTCTAACACAGACTCTTCAGCCTTCCAAGGAAGACCTTCCGCTTTCCAGCACAGACTCACACCAGACTCGGCAGTGACTCCAGGTCCTCAGTCTTCCCCTGGATCCTGTGGCTTCCCAGCAGGCAGAGAGCCGCCTGCATCCTTTCACTCCTGATTCCCCAGGGGGGCATTGTAGGCCTCCTCCGTAAATCCTTTCCTTCTCATACATTTATCATTACATTAACTCCGTTCCTGTAGTGAACCTTAACGGACACAGGTGTGACCTGGAAGGGTATACTGTCCTTCTTGGCTCTTCCCTTGACTCTGTTGCTGCTTCCTGCCTGCCATGCCATGAGCAGCCCTCCTCTGCCATGCCACCCTCCTGTCTAGAAGCCTGCAGATCTTGGACTGAAATCTGTACAAACCATGAACCAAAATAAACCTCCCTTCCCTTAAGTTGGGTAGTGGGTGCTGTGTCTCAGCAACGAGAAGAACCTGAGACCAGGTATTTGAGCAACCCAGTCATCAGGACTTACTCATATGATTTACTTATGCAGTGCTTACTCATACGATTTACTTATTCACTATGTGTACTGACTATGTATACTGACGGTGTATATTTATTGTGTATATAGTATTGTCTTTCTCCACTGTCCCTTTGCTAGACTGTTAGTCTCACGAGGGCAAGGAATCTGTTTTGTTTACTGATGTCTCTCCCAAGATAAACAGTACCTTCTGCATAATAATGAGTGGAAGAAAGTTCTGTGGCAACATAAAATAATCATATTTTGAAATAATAGCATCTATTTCCAGATAAGACTAGCTGTACTTTTCCAAAGTTAAGGTATAAACATTTTGGCTGCCAGTGAGGCAGGGTGGTTCATGTTTGTAATTCCAGCACTCTGGGACACTGAGCTGGGAAGATCACAAGTTCCAGCACAGCGTGAATAACTTAAGAAAATAGCAGGAACCTGTCTCACAAAATAAAAAGGAACTGGGAATGTAGCTCAATGTGAAGACCCTCGGTTCAATCTGTTGGGAGCCGCAGCCCCGAGCCCGGTCGCCTCACTTGGCGGACGTGAGGCCTGTAGTAAAGAGTAAAGCCTGAGGTAGATTACCCCTCCCATCGAGCACGTTAGTTTCCTGCTTACCGCGTAAGCAACCCGCTCAACAATATAGTCTGCCTGGCAACTGATGATGTTAGCCAATCAGCTTGCCTTGCTTACTTTAACATGATTGGACACTGTATCCGTATATATACTGGTGCCACCCCTGGGGGGGAAGAAGAAGCCCGGAAGTAGAAGCCCAGAAGGAGCCGCGGGGAGCGGACCAAAGGAGGCTTCGGCTGGGAGCGATCCCAGGGCAGGCTGTACGGAGAAGGAAAATAAAAGAAAAGGTTGTCCACTGCCAGACTTTGTCGTGTGTCCTTCCTGCCGGCCGGGAGCGACATCGACATCAATCCCCAGCACTAAACGAAAAAGAGTGGTTTGCATGTACAGCTAGTCTGTGAAACCAATTGCAGTCATGCATCAACTAATAACGGGGATACATTCTTAGAAATGTGCCACTAGGTGATGGCACTATGCAAGCATCACAGAATGTGCTTACAAAGACTAACATGGCTCTGATGTCACTAGGTGATACAACCTTTGGAGAACACTGTTGTACATGTGGGACATTACTGGTTGAAATGATGTTATGTTTTACATGATTGTATTTGTCAAAGAACCAAGAAATTCTCTGATAGTAAATATTATAGTACAGTATCACCACCCTTATGGTAGTACTGGAGGCTGTGTAATAGGGAAAACCCAGATGGCTTTGGGTTTAAATTCTAGATCTGCTCCCCATATGCAACCATGTGATCTTGATTAAAACAATTAAACACTCCGGGGCTGAGCTTTCTCATCAATGAGCAAAGACAACATATCCGCTATGATATGAATTAGGTAGAGAATGTTCCCCAATGCTTCATATGTTTGGAAAGTGACTGGGTTGTGGGGGGTGCCATATTCGTCAGTGAATTAATGCACTGATGCGTTCAGAGCTGACGGGCTGGTAGGTGGTGGAGCTTGGCTTACAGGTGGGTCACAGGGAGTGTGACCCAGAAGGGTGCCCTTCCCTTCCCAGTTCTCCCTCTGTTCTTTGCTTCCTGACCACCATGATGCGAGCAGCATTTCTCTGCCATGCCATTCTGAGTTGGCCAACTAAAGTGTGCGCCAAAGTCAACCTCATCTCCTGTAAGTCATGTATGTCAGATACCCTGTACCGGCAGTGCAAAAGTGACTAAGACAATATCTACCCATAATTTATATATATTCTATATATAAATGTAATATATCTGCATTGTCAGTTAATCTTAATATTTTACCTCTTATAATGGGCTATTTGCTAATGCAGTAGTTTAAATCAAATTCAAAGTAACTTTTAAGAAAGTGGAATGGTTTAATGAATCCTCATGTACTCCCAGCTTCAATAATTATCAATTCGTGACCAATTTTTTATCCACTCCCTCCATATAATTTTGAAGCAAATATCAAATATATTCTTTCATGTGTGAATACTTTAGTATAAATCTCTAAATGTAAGATCTATTCAACAGTAGTCATTTCATTATCTCATCTGCATAAAAATAACTCCTGGTGTTAAATATCCAAAAGGTGTCCAAATTTCTTAATGTCCCATAAATGATTATGTTTTTTAAAATCTTCTTTTGTTGTTGTTGCTGTTGTTGTTTAAGTCAGGATCCACAGGAGGCCACACATGGCTATTGGTTGATAATTATTTTAAATCTCTTTGGGCCTCCTGTTTTTCTTGCAGTTTGTTGAGGAAACCAGGGCACTCGTCCTGTGGAATGTGTCATACTCTGCATTTTGCCGATGGCACTGTTTGATTTTTTTAAAAAAAATTTTGATTTGTCTGTGACAGTAACTAACACACTGAATTTAACACAGTTCTGGGTTTCTTTTTTTTTTTTTTTTTTGTCTTTTTCCTTTTTATCGGTACTGGGAATCGAATTCATGACTGCCTGCTTGCAAGGCAGGTGCTTATGCCACTGAGCTAAACCTCCAGCCCCTAGTTCTGGGTTTCTTAAGAATAGGGGTGTAACATGACTGATAGAAATAGAAGCATAAGACCAGTGTTAATTCTAACCCACTGTAAGTAACAAAGGCTCCTTAAAGCCGGGCGTGGTGGCTCATGCCTGTAATCCCAGCACTCGGGAGGCGGAGGCAGGAAGATCGTTTGGAGTTCGACACCAGCCTAGGCTACAAAGTGAGCTCAAGGCCAGCCTGAACTGCACAGAGAGACCCTGTCTCAAAAAGACAGAACGAAACAAAAAAACAAAGGCTCCTGTGTGTGAGGGGGGAAAGTCCTGACCAGTGTTATAGGAATTTGTTTCCCTTTAATGCCAACTACCTGTGCCCATCACAGCCTTCACCCCCCTCCCAATGTGACTGGGAGGACTTAGGGGTGTGGAGCTCAGAAAAGTCCCAGAAATGTCCAGCCCAGGACAGAGCACCAGACCACTTCTTCACCATGGCCAAGACTAGAGGAAAGGCTACTACGCCATGGCTAGCAGGCTAAGAGGAAGAACTTGGATGGTGACAGAGAACCTGTGGTCCGGGGTCACTGTGAATAGGGAGAAGACAGATTCAGGAGCAAGAGGAAGAGAATGGGGCTGGCAAAGCTGCAGACACTCGCCCATGGACTCTGGCTAACACGGCTGCTCAGAGCCGTTCATTTCTGCTTCATTGGACAACACTCCTATGCAATTTTAACTGCTTACATGATAAAAGCAAACAACAAACAAGAACATTTGCCTCAAAAGCTTTGGAATGAAGAGTATCAACAAGTTTCTTTCAAACATAAACTGTATGGCAACTGAGCACCCACAGAAACTGCATTTGAAGATCTCTGCACTTAATTTTTTTTTCTGCTAAACAAGGCCTAGATTGCCAGTTACTTTCAATATGTCTCGCTAATGACAGCTCCCAGCATTTCGCACCTAAGTAGTCTGGCTGAATTTTCCGTAGATAGATAGGTAAGGAGATGGACAGGCAGGTGGATGATGGGCAGACTTAGCTTTAGACACTTCCTTTGAGTTTCTCCCATATAAAAAGTGGCAGCAGGGCTGGCTGGTAGGCGAGTGTATCTCAGTGGCACAGCCTTGCATGCACGAGACCCTGGGTTGGTGGCAATAAAGTGTCTCAAGAAACACTTCCTTTTCATCAGTTCCTGTAGGGTTTTCTTCCTCCTCCCTCAGCTCCGTAAATATGTGTTGGGTAGATCACTGAATGAATAAATGAATGACTAGGGAGATAATATTTTTTGAGGATCAATAAGTAAGGAACACGAATAAATAAAATTCCATGCGACACAGTCTGATCATAGAAGTCTCTAATAACAAGACTAAGTCTCAAGTCCCAGTTTTCAGGATCAACTCAGAGATAATCGAACCAAACACCACCATGTCAAGCTCATGGAGTGCTGTGGATGTTCCCTGAGACCTAATGTGGCTCATCTGTCTCAGGAGTATTTCCTCATCTATTACATGAAAATCTCAGAGCCAGCCAGTTCTATTCATTGGAGAAGTTTCTAAAATGTCCAGGGTTAACATTTTAACTTGTTCTTTAAGTGTTCTGTTATCAGGTTTTTCAGGTCAAGAACCTTTAAACTATGCAAGGTACAGATATACATTACAGAGAAATAACTTGCCAATTCATTAGGCTTTTACGCCCACCCTGTGCTATTATAAGACATATATTTACGCTTATAGTATCGTAAAATGTTTATATTACTTTTTATTATCTATTTGTATATTAGCTAACATTTATTAAACACTTTATTATGTGCTAAGTGTTTTATTTCCAGCACTCACGACCTTAATTCTCCCCACTTTGCAGATAAGGAAACTAAAGTGTAAGTAGGGTAAGTCATTTATTCAAGGCCACATAAATAATAAATTTAAATTTTAAAAAAAAGAAAGAAAAAATACATACAGGCCAAAATTCCACGCTCTGACTTTTAACTCTCATTCTATGTGACATTTATTAAACTACTTTCTCCATCCTCAAAAACAGCTGGGCTGGGCCAGGGTCATGGAACACAACAGGACCAGGAAGTGCCTGTTTATCTGTGTGAATCCCACTACCTGTTGACAACGGAAATTACGGCTGGAAATACATTGTGCACAATGAACACACAAACTGTCCTGCCCAGCAGTCAATCTTAATCGATTTAACCTATCAATTTTAGTCCACCCCAGGGGACTGAGACCCTAACTGTGCAAAGATTTGCTTCTTGGAGTCTCTGCACGCACATGGGTTTTTACACCATTTCATTAAATTTGAAGAGTGCCGAAAAAGTAAATGATCATTCTGTGATTTGTTTGGTTTTATAATTATGAAATGAGAGAATGTTACTAATTTCCTTAACGCTCGTCTGTATATTCCCCTAAGTGTGCACTGTTACCTTCCCCTTCTTGCTCCTCACAGGGGACAGGTCTAACAGTTAGAACACCGAATCTGATTCTGTGAGTGAGCAAGCATGGTCATCATGCTGCTTTCCCACATTTATGCCCCATTTAACAGCTTCTATTTCCTGGAGTGTAGGGTAGGATGGATGGAGGACACAGAACAACATGATTTGATGGGATTTTTTCCTCACAATTAAATTCATTGCTAAAATGACCAATAAAACACTGCAATCAAATGTAAAGCCACGCTTACCGGCTGCCACCCCAAAGGTGATAAAGAGGCAGTGCACACTGGCCGCATAGGCACTCAGCACCCAGCCCAGCGCGTTCAGCAGCCCTCCCACGATGGTGGTCCAGCGGCACCCGCAGGTGTTAATGAACAAGCCGATGAAAGGTCCTGCCACAGAACATTGGAGAAGGAATTCATTAGTGCTTTATTTTCTTGCTTTCTCTGGCTGTTGTTTTTTTTTTTTTTTTGAGACAGGCTCTCACTGTGTAGTTCAGGCTGGTCCTAAACTTACTATGAAGTAATAGTCCAGGCTGGCCTGGAACTCACGGCAATCCCCCCATCTCAATATTTTCAGGCTTTCTCAGTGAATCCTCAACGAAGGCAAAGAATACAACCATTGAATAAGGCAAAAGCAAAACACTGTTTTACATACAGAAACCTTTTTAGCATGCAGAGACAGGTATAAATAATCTCATCAGTGAATACCAGATTCTAGATTTTCCAGGAAGGCAGACCTGAAATAAAGAAACAAATAGCACGGGGTTCATTCTTTTGTCTAAAACAGAAGCTTTTTATGTTTTTTTTTTTTTTTTTTTTTTGGTCTTTTTCCTTTTTATCAGTACCGAGGATCGAACTCATGACTACCTGCTTGCAAGGCAGGCGCTTATGCCACTGAGCTAAATCTCCAGCCCCGCTTTTTATGTCTTGACCAAGGTTTGGAAAAGGCTCATAATTAGTTGCCAATATTTAAAAGTTAAAACGATTAAAAATAAAATCCAGCAGCAGCTCTAACCACCTTGCCACGCAGCTGGAACCAGCGGTGTGGGATAGCAGCTGACTGGCTGTCAGGCCCTCCCGCATTGCACCTGGGTCTCTTTCCCTCTGGTCCCCGTGGTCTCCCATGGGCTGCCCGGCCTCCCTTACACTCTTTGTCTGGCTTCTTTACACATTACCAGGTTTCATTCTTTCTCTCTTGTTTTTGTTTTCATTGCCTAGGACCCGACCCAGGCAGGGCTTCACACATGCTAGGAAAGTGCTCTACCACTGAACTACACCCAGCCCCTAAATTTGAATTTTTGACACTGGATCTTAGGAGGGCTCAGGAAAAAGGGGGCTGAGAATACCTGTGCTTCAAGCAGGGACCCTCAAGGCTATTTGCCTGAGGACACCGAAATGCAAGCCAAGGACTCAGTCATGGCAGCCTCTCCTTGTTCTGCCCCGCACCCTTGAGGCTCTGAATGTGTGACTCTGTGTGGAGACCAGGAGTATAGGTCACAGGGCACGAGGTGACAAAACACGCAGCAGCACAGGTTTTTTTCCCCCTTTGCAACAGGGTCTCGCTGTGTGGCCCAGGCTGGCCTCAAACTCACAGTGATCCAGAAAGAGAGTTTGGAAAGGAAAAACCCAGAGCACCTGAGTGAAGAAAACAATCAGAATTTGCAACATGAAAAACTGTGCCGCCAGTACTCGGGAGGCTGAGGCAGGAAGACAACTTCGAGTTCAAGGCCAGCCTGAACCACATAGCAAGATCCCATCCCACAAAAAGTATCCAATCCAAAACATTATGAAGATAAATGCTTATTAGTTTAATTAGCCTTGTATTACAGAAAATGATTCAGCAGATAAAACTCTTAAAAGAGGTTTAAGAGATTAAATAATTTTACACATAATGTATGCTATATATTATTAAATTATGCACATGATATGAATAATATATAGCATAAGCTGTTTGGTATAAGCAACCAAGAAAACTGTTGGGAGTAACGGAATTCAGATGCTATGAATTTTCTTTAGATGTCATACATTGAAGTTATAGTATTTCTTTACACATATTTTTATTTTCCTAAACCCAAGGTCACTTGACCACACCAAATTTGGATGAGTGGGTAAAAAAGAAAAATGAATGACTCATCAGCTGGCTGTTGTCATAGCTCTTTTTAGATATAAAGTCAACAGGTCACAGTTCAGTAGACCAGCATTTTCCAAATTACACAAAAGGGGCAGAAGGAGGTTTGCCAGAAATGCTGTGTATTTATGAAATGTAGCAAAAACAAGGCATTTGAGGGGGTAAAAATAAAAAGAAACTCCCAAATCAGTGCAAATACTCTTGTGTGGAGGAATTCTATAAACAAGACAGAAAGCACTGAGTTCTTTCTCTTTTTTTTGAGACAGTCTCACTGTGTAGTTCCGGCTGACTTTGAACTCACTGTGCAGCCCAGGCTGACCTCACACTCAGCCTCTGAGCTGGGATTACAGGCGTGCCCCACCCCACTGTGCCCCGCAGCACAGAGTTCTTCTTAATGAAGAACCGGAAGTTGATAATAAGCAGGGGATAACAGTCTGGCTTTCTAGTTAATCAATTTTTGCAGCCTGGAGCATCACATGTGGACAGAATCAGCCCCAAAATGCTGTGAATTCTCCACAGTTATGAAAAAGGTCCCGTGGTTTCCCAGCCCAGTCTCATTTCCTAACTGTTGTTCCTTGGTGGCCACCAGGCATCTCCAACATCCAGTGGCTAGTTCAGCAAAATAAAAAGAACTCCTCCCATACTCTGAAGACAGAGGAGAAAAACTGAGACACACACAGGCCTTTGATTACGACTGAGGCTAATGGAGAGTAATTCAGTGGTGTTGGGGTATATATCTAGATGTCTCCACAAAGCCTCATGTGCTCACAGGTGGGGGGCTAGGGAGGCAGTTGGATCATGAGGATGTTAGTGCACTGATCAGTTCATAGCTAGATGTGATGGGAGCCTGGTGGCGGGAGTGGGCCACTGAGGTTGTGATTGAAAGAACCTATCGCCCTTCTCCCCCCTTGATCTCTCTGTCTGCTTCCTGCAGCCATGCCACGAGCTGTTTTCACCTCTGCCCTGGCCCCCTGCCATGCCGCCCTGCCTCGGAACCAGCCAATTATGAACTGAAACAGTGTCATCCCATTTTGCCTGTCCTAGCGTCTGATAGGCCAGTAAGGCCATAAAGCTCAGGTGACAACAACAATCTGAGGTGAGCCTGGCTGATGCTTGGGGTGAAAGGAGGTCATTTCCTGAACCCTGAGTCCTGTAGCATGAAGATTTAGCATCTCCAAATCCAAGCTCCTTGCCTTGGCTTCACATTGCATCACTCTGAAGCTTAATAAAAACCTCCTGATGCCTGGATCCCATCCCAGTGTGGTCTAGTGTCCAAGTGCAGCCTGAACATCAGGATCTTCCCAGGGGGCTCAGAGTGCAGCCAGAACTAACAACTGCACCTCTAAATCCACTTAGGAAGCCAGTCAGCTTCTGTAGCCCGTGAATTTCGCACCTACAATTATTTAAGGAGCTCTCATCACAGAAGCTGACTGGAAAGGAAAGAGGGGAGTGGATTTTGTTAAAAGCCGGTACCTCTGGCAGGACACCTGCAAATCCACATTGGTAAAGAATGAAACAATGCGTATTTATCGGATTTACCATATGCAAACTGCTGACAGAGAAAGAGATGGCTTCCAACTACTGCAACATGCTTCAGGGATTTTTAAAAAATGTAAAACAGGTGTAAACCTACATGTGCTTACAAGATTAGAAGATGCAAACAAGATGTGTTCATTCGCCACAAGTCTATTTTCAGTTCTCATTTGAGGTTCAGCAGACCAGGTTTGAAGCTGGTCCTACTCTTCCTGGCTGTTCAGCCTTCCGTATCGTAACGTCTCTGAGTGCTGCACGTTCCTCCTTTCTAGGACAGAGATGGTGGTCTGGCCTTCAGTGTAATAGGACCACTGAAATCTCATATACAATGTGCCTCTACCTGTGCAGTCAGCAGGGTCCTCAAAGGGGGCAACAGGAGATTAAGAAAAAACTAGACACATATTAAAAGCTGGGACCGGATGGGTCCTGTCCTCGTGATGGAGAAGCAGTGACTATCCAGCACAGTCTGTGTCTTCTATCTATACACAGTAAAAAGGGGGAAAGCCCATGATGTGGTCGAAAGCGCAAGGTCTCAGTGTTTTGCTGAGAACACTGAAAGCAAAACATTCTCAGAGCCGCCTGTGCCTGGTTAACAGGGAGGAGGCACCAGGGCCGGACACCTGGGGGACTGGCCTTGCTTAAGTCTCAACAGCATGTTCATAGGGCTCATCCCTCATGCTCTGCCTTCCCAGGGATGGCCCTGCGCTAGCCCCAAGTATGTGACTGGTCTCCAGCTCCCCACAATAACATGCTCTTCACACGCAGTGGGTGCGAAAGCATAAAGACCTATTAGGTGGCTGCTCATGCTGTGCACCTTGTCTGCCAACACTCTGTACCAGGAAGTTGAGGATTTAAAGAAGTCATTGACTTACGAACATGGTAGATAAAATAAAAGATCTTTTGTCATCTAGCTATGAACCTTGCTATGTTGTGATGCATGCAACCCAGAGCAAAAGATATTTATCTGGCAGGCAGCTTTTCCTGTAGAAATGTTAGGTAATGATCTGAAATTCTGCCGTTTGGAATTCAAGAGCTCTCTAACGTCACTCTGTGCATACATTTATTCTCCAACAGAATGAATGATAACAGTTCCAGTTCACCACTGCTGTGAACTGGAGGTTCTGAGTTCATGGATCATGCTCAAAACCATGTCCAATAATTTTGGCACTGGTTCCCTGTGTATTTCTATGGGATTCATGAAACATGAAATAATATATAAGATAACCTCATTGGATGGCTTGGGAAATATTGGAACATTTTGTATCTTATGCTTTTCTTGAGAGATTTTTTTTTTTGTAGTTGCTGCAGGTACACACTTCCTAGATTGACTCTGTATTTTGATCTACACTTCCAAAAAAAACCCCAAAAAATAAAAATATAAGAATGCTGAATTATAATATATATTATACCAGAAACAAATTCAATCTTCTGGTTTTGTGAATGTGTACTCTTCTGTGTGACCTTAAAAAGGTAAGAACACTGAATCTTAAGTATTCTAGAAGTACAATTGTCTCTTCTGACCTATTGAAAGGCAGAACCACACCTGAGAGAAACCAGAACATTCTCCCCACCAAGGTAAAGGTCCTGCAGTCTTCAACGGCAAACAGGCCTGGGGTTGGGTAGGGTTTTTTTTTTTTTTTTTCTGTACTGGAAATTGAACCTATGGTCTTCACACAGACATACACCCCCAGTTCTTTACCATGTTTTTTTCTTAAGTTCTGAGACAGAGTCCAGCTAAATTGTTAAATGATCCAGGTTAGGCTTGGATTTTCTATACTCCTGCCTCAGCCTCCCAGAGTTCTGGGATTACCCTCTTGCACCACCATACTCAGCCCAGATCTGGTTTTAGCAAGATAGATGCAGAGGTGAAGGAGTTGGTCACTAAGGTTACAGATCAAAGTGACTTATCAATAATTCTGTGTCACACACAATGGTGCCTTTATTTAATTTTAAGACTAGACCAGTATTCATTCCCTCTGGTAAACACACACATACTACACATCTTGAAAAAGAACACAATGTCCTTCTTTTCTGTCATTAGCTCTAAAGCACTGCATGACTGTTGTTTGTATTATCAAAATAACATCAAATGAATGTCTGCCAAGACTAATGCATCTGACTTGTATTTAGGCAGTTGGTTACTAAGTAGAAATCACTGAAAACCTACCGATTCAAATCAAACACACATACGCCATCACATACGTACTGACCAAACCAGAAGATTAGATATATATTTGCAGTCTAAAATACATCACCAATATTTTAAATAAGAAAATAGTTGTGAAGCATCAATTTACCTTCAAGTGGAACACTAGGGTATAGTGGTAATGAGCTCAGAGGATTAAGGCAATTAAATAGGATTATACAAGATAGTATAAGGAAAAGCACCTGGTGTACATAACAGATGCTTATTAACATTAGGTGAAGAAAAAAATAATATTAGTTGAGAGTGAAAGTTGTTTGGTTCCCAAACTAAAACACATCATAGCGAGTTCCTGGTTTAGTATCTCCAACTCTAGAAGAATTGGTTTTATAGACAGCTCTGTAGTTAGGCTCAACTAGTAAATACAAAAATATATTACTGCTCCTTCCTGGTACATTGGCAAACTCTAGATGATCAATAAAGTTTTGGATCAAAAATATCAAAACTCCATGTTTGTTAACTTGATTACCACTGAGATATATCCCCAGCCCTTTACCTTTTCTTTTCAGCCCTTTATCTTTTAAAAACTATTAATACATGTTAAATAAGCAGAGACTTGAAATGACATAATGAATGCAACAGTTAAGAAAACAGAGCATGGGAAAAAAAAAGAAAGAAAGAAAACAGAGCAGGGACAGAAGAGAGGTGTTTTTTCTTGGTATTGGTGTTTTTTCTTGGTATTGGGGATCAAACTTTTAATCTCACCCTTCCCAAGCAGGTGCTTGTTCTGCTGAGCTATATACCCCAGAAGAAGAGAATTTTCTCATTTTGATCAGATTTTTGTTGTTTGTTGTGTTCTGAGACAGAGTCTCACCATCTAGTTTAGGCTGACCTTGAACTCACTCAAGGCCTCCAACTTACAAGGATCCTTTTGCCTCAGCCTCTTGAGTGCTGGGATTACAGGCATGTGCCACCGTGCCCGGCTTTAAATGACAAAAAAAATTTGTTTTTGAGACTGGGTCTCCTTATGTAGTTCAGGCTGGCCTTGAACTCTCGACCATTGGCCATCATCCTGCCTCAGCCTCCCAAGTACAAAACAATGCTTAAAACATTCAAATAGTAATATCACACAAAAGGACAAATATTATGGGATTCCACTCCCACTAAATACTTAGAATAATCAAATTCATAGAGAGGAAAAGTATAGTGGTGGTAGCCAGGGATAGGGGCTGGTGGGAATGAGGAGGTCGTGTCTCATGAGAACAGTTTCAGTTTGGGGGGATGAAAGAGCTCTGGAGATGAAATTGGTGACAGCCAAACAAAATACAAATGTAGGGCTGGGTGGGGATTTAGCTCAGCGGCATAAGCGCCTGCTTTCAAAGTGTGCGGTTGTGAGCTCCATCCCACCCACCCCCGTACCAAAACAAACAACAACAACAAAAAACTACACAGCAAAAATACAAATGTACTTAACAGCCCTGAGCTTCGTCGCTAAAAATGATTAAAATGGTAAATTTTGTGCGCTCTATATTTAACCATAATTATTATCAATTTTTATTCTTTAAAGGAGGAAAGGTTTATCTGAGGTCACAGTTTTGCAGAGGTTTCAGTGCATTACTAGCTGGCTCCAAGGCACACAGCAAAGGGGCAACGGTTTGCGGCGGCGGAAGTCAGCCAAAGCTGCAAAGGAGGGCTTAACGTAATTTCTGAGACTAGAAACACCGCTAACGTCTAATAGCTAATGTTTCACCAACAGGAGGCCTCAACCGCTTAGAGGCAGACAGTCTCGGGCAGTCCTGGGGTTCCCCACGGCACCCGCGCGCACGTACCCACGATCAGGGTGATGCCCATGCTGAGGGAGCTCACCCAGGCGGTGAGCCCGCGGCTCTGGTGGAATTCCTCCAGCCACTCCACGTTGAGCACGCCCAGGGCCATCTGCGAGCCCATGATGAGGATGTGCACGAAGAAGGAGGAGAGGACCATCACCCAGGCCCAGCCGCCGTCGATGTCCGGGTGGGGCTTGAGGGTTTTCTTAGCCTTGGGGTCATCTTCAAATTCGTACCCGATGTCTTCATGACTTGTGTACATTTTCTGAGGTTTCCTGAAACACACAGAGCAAATCATTTCACCAAACAGCAAAACAAGAGAATCCTCATCTTTAGATCACTGCCCCTCCGATCATGATCTGGTGGCTCCAGTGTCAGGTCAGGCCTTTGGATCCCTCTTTGTTGCTGAAAGATTTGGGACCATTCCCTCCCTCCTTTCTCACAGCATCAAGAGCCAAGTGCTCTCAGGAAGCCTGTTTCACCCGACCTTTGTGCTGAGCTACATCCTCAGTCCTGAAAAACTTTTTTTCTCTTTTTAAATCTTGAGATAGGGTCTAAATCCCTAGGTTACCCTGGCTGGATTTGAACCAGTGATCCTCCTACCTCAGCCTCCCAGAGTCCTGGGATTCCTGTGCCAGCACACTTAGCTCTGCTTTGTTTTTACAGTCATCTGTCTATAAATATTATAACCTTGGAAACACAATAACAAACTCAGGAATGAAGTGATTTTCCAAAGAAGGGAAGCAAGAAGGGAGGGAGCCGGGGCTGGGTTTGAGCTTGTGATCCTTCTGCCTCAGTCTCTGAGTGTGCTGAGACGGATTACAAGCGTGTGCCACCACGTCCAGCAGCTTCCTGTCTGTCTTTGAAAAATTCCCTTGTTTCCACTTCCTCAAATACACACACACACACCTTCCCACTGCTGTGCTACTCCGGAACATCTATGTTCTTTGGAGAATCTCTGGTTTTTTCTTACTATGTAGACTGACCAGAGAGCAGATCCTGGCAGGCTGCTGTCCCTGCAGCCTGTGTGGGCACATGCATGAGCTAAAAGCGGTCTTAAGATTAACCTGGCTAAGGGCTACAAGGCCTGCAAGCCCTGTCTCGCTCCTTGTCTGACAAGCGGGCTGCTCCCAGACTCTAGCTTGGGTTCTGCCTAAAGGCTGATCGGGAGTTGGGAAGGAAACAGGTTCTGGGAACCAAGGATGCCAGGGGAGGAGCCATGCAGCGACCTGCCCTGGGCTCCTCGGGGTGCTTCCTTCTTTTCACTCTTGGCTCCCTGGAGGATTTCTGTCTTTTCAATCATTCTGTCTCCTCAGCAGCTGTGCGGTTTGCAGCCTGTGGGTGCTGCTCCCGGCCCAGGTCCTCTTCCAACTGCTCATCCACACCTTCAACTCGTCCTGACGTCCTGAGGATCGGATCCAAGCTTCCCACCCTTACTTGCTCCAGTCCCCAGGTTGCTCGTGTGTTCTGGCTGCCACCGCCAGGTGTCTTCACTGTCCTCCCCTGACCTGTGTATCCCACGCTCTGTCCTGCACAAACACCTGCAGCGCCCAAACAAAGCACGTACATGCTCAGTCTCTCCAGCAGGTGTGCTGCCCTCTGCTTCCCTCTTGGGAACAGGCTTCTTCCTTCTAAGCTTCTTGGTTCTTTTCTGCTCATGCTTTAAGGCTTAACTAAACCTTTAGAACGAAACTTTGAAATAGTGTGAAAAAAGTAAAAAAAATCTGAAAGCATCTCTAACATCCTACATCAAAGCACCACACCAGTTAAATCAGCCAATCACAGCCAAGCTACTGGAGGCCAGTCCAGCATCAAAAATACAGTTGCCTGGGGGCTAGGCTGTAGCCAGTTGAGCAGTAGCACACTAGTCTTGTACACTGGCCCAGGACCCAGGGACAACAAAATTGTGAGGGCTCTTTGAAGACTGGAAAGGCCAGGCTAACGTGTCAGCTTGAGAAGAGGCTGAAAATGGGCACGTGCAATAATCCTGTTATTTCTGCTGTTGTCCAAAACGAAGTATCTGCAGGAGATACCACTGCAGTGAAACACAGAAAAAATACCACTGGTCTTGCAGGGCATTTCTTCTTTCTTTTTCCTTGTTGGTAAAAACAAAAAGAAAATCTAAGTAAACTTCTCTTATAAAAAGTAAAGGTTTCTAGCTTTTAAATAATCCAAATCAGCCTCTAGCCTAGCCTAGGTGAATTAGTGGTTAGATTATAAAAGAGGAAAAAAAAGTACAAGCCTAGAGCCACTTGTCTGGGGCAATGTCTCAGCCTGCCTTGAGCTCGAAGCTTTAGCATGCACATGTGTGCCTGTGTGTGTGCAGGAGGCTGTGAATGTGTGTGTGTGCGCATGTCTCCAGTACCCATGCATCTTTCTTCTTACAGGAGCCTCTCACTGCTCGAGGAAGGGGCAGCTCCTCCAAGCCCACAGCCCAGGGCAGAGCCATGAAGGGACAGAGGACGAGCCAGCTGAGCAGGGCTCAGGATGGGTGGCTGTTGGTGCGTCAGCTCTGTCCCTGCCCGTAACATGCAGACTGCAGCGGAGCCAGAAAAAGAACCAGGCGGCTCGACATGGGTGTGAATGTCCCATCTGAGAAAAAATGTCATTTTACAGTCGATCAGACAGATCTCAGCTGTATTTAATACGCTCAAACAACAAAACGTGGCATTTCCCTAAAGTTTACTTACAACTAAAAATGTCTTTTTTGTTATAATAATGAGTTTTGCAACCCGCAGAAAAGCACTTGAAATAGGAAGCACTTTTCCAAAGCAATGTTAAGAACTTTATATTCTCAGTGAATTATTTATCTTGTGGGTTGAGATGCAGTTGCCATTAGACTGCTGTTGGCATTTCCAGCTTATTCATGCATAAATAAATGACATTGTATAACACTTAGTGGACACGATTTATTCAAGAGGCACAGCCATGCGTGCAGGAGTCAGCGCTCAAGAAGGCTGGGCTGAGGCAAAAAGATTCTTTCAGATCCTCGGGAGGCACTTTCAGAGCTTTAGGGTGAGAGTGGCATTTGCGCTTCACACTTCAATCTCTCTAGAAGTAATTACTCCTTAATTAGTCACAGTTAACTTACTGTTCAACAAGATTAACATAAACCGAAGACAACAGAAAAATAAGTGATCACTGCTGCTAAGGTTTGAAAAATTCCTTCCAAAATTCACGTTGGAATTTAGTTGTGGTGACAGAATTAACCAATGGGATACTTAAAGGTCATGGGCCTTGCCGTCAGCAGTGGGTTAGGGTCACTCTCACCCGACCCGCTCAGTTACTTTGGGAGTGGGTCTCTGTTACAAGGATGGATTTGGCTCTGGGTTGGGCATGCTTTGCCTGCCCTTACACTGTGTTACGATACAGGAAGGCACCCTTCTCCAGAGGCAGCCTGGACCTTGTGTTTCACAGCTTCGAGAACCACGAGCCACGCATACTTCTACTGCTCACGACTTACCCCATTTGTGTGTTTTGCTGCAGCAGCAGACAGCTAAGACACCACCCCACCCTCCATCGTGCATTTCTGCATTTATATCATTAGGAGATACAGAATCATCATTTGGAATATGATCACTCTACTCCTGGAGGGTATCTGGACTGCCCATCGCCCCCCACATCTTTCTCCACTGTACAGCCTTCGCCATCACCCTCAGCCTCTGACCCATTGGGGTAAATGGAGGCAGCAGGTGTGAGTGCAGGACCTCTACTAAGCAGGTACTGTTGGAAACCTGGATGTGACTGTTGGGTTTTGCCCTGGAGGAGGTGGGGGAAGTTAATGAGAAGATGATGGGGCCCAAACATGAGTCTGTAAACCAGGACAAAGAAATCATGCATGATGGGGTAGGGTAGCAGACACAGTGACACTTGTAGGATATGAAACATGCCAGCCATGTATTTATGTAACAATGGGCAAAAATGAAAATGACATCTCTTTTGCAAGTGTACCAGATGAAAACAAAATTCAATTTTCTATAGCCTCTATCACAGGAGAAAGTTTTACAAGCCAATTCATTTTTTTTATTTTGACTTTTGATTCTCCCTCCCCAACTATAGGGATTGAACCAAGGCTTCTTGTGTCTCTTGCATGCTAAGGGCTCCCTCACTGTTTAAGGCTGAAACAGGACCTAGCTAAACTACCCAGCTGGCCTTGAACTTGCGATCCTTCTGTCTTTGGAGTAGCTGGGGTTACACGTGTGTGCACCAGGCTGTCAATTATTATTATTATTACCATTTATTATTATTGGGTTGTGACTGTCATTATGTCACAAACGGTGAGCTCATTATTATGAGAAGCAAGTTAACGAATTAAAGCTAAAAAGACAACTGGCCCAAAAGGTGGACAAGGGCACAGGGTGCAGATCCCCCATGGCATGCAGGGAGTTAGTGGGATTGCTTTCAGTCTGGATCTCCGTGACCACTTCTGTCCTCTAAACCAGGTGTCTACAGGAATTCTGGGGGCGCACTAGAGGGCAACAGGCCAAAGAGCTGGAGTGGACAACCCTGAGGACCTGTGCTACGCTAGTGTGGATGCCACGGGAGAAACCGGCTACCTGGCTTCACATAAACTGAGAGACCGAGCATACAAATGTCTCCTCTAAGTCAGGCCTGTGCTGGTGGCTTCTCCACACCGCTCTGGTCTCTGAGAAATGTCCCCATTTCTCAGATGAGGAAACTGAGCCAATTGTCGGAGGTCAAGCTACCAAGTGGTGGAACCCAAGTCTGACCCCAAGCCTGCAGAGTCTAACCCCGGCCTCCACTCCATCCCCCCCCCCCCCCAAGGCTAGAAGGCCTCTCTCCAGACCCCAGTGATAATGCTCTGTGACTCTTCGGAGCCAGTTTTCCGCAGAGCTGATTGGTAAGCAGGGCTGAACTCCGAGCACATCAGCCCGGCCTGGGCTATGGGTGGCCCCGAGATGGCTGTCCCCGGCCCCGTGCCCCGTTTTAGTCTGTTCTTCGCTCTCTGGAGGCGCCTGGATAGGAACCGCTACGGGAGGCTCAGCATCGAAGGAGGTGGCTCGGCCCCGCAGGACCCGGGCTCCCAAGCGCGCATCCCCGCCTCTGGCACCGCGCGCACGCGCTGGGAACCCGGCTGCTCCGCGGGGACACCGGGCCTCGCAAGGTCCCACGCCGGCTCGCAGACCTCGCCGCGGCCGCCACTCTGCTGCTCGGCGCCCATCGCCGTGCGCTCCGGGCTGGGCGCACGGGACCGAGCGCGCTCTCCAGCCGGGCGGGGACCCCGGGGCGCGCGGGGCCCGGGTCGCCGCCCTCAGTTGGAAGTCCCGGCGGGGGCGGCCTTCCGGAGGCAGCCCAGGGCCCGCGCCGCCCCTCGCCGAGGGTCCCCGAGTGGCTGCGGCCGCCCGCGTCCCCGGTCCCGGCGCCGCTGCATCCCCGGCCTGCGGCGCGGGGCATCCTCGGATACTCACCGCCTGCAGCCTACCGGGCTCGGCCTCACTCGGCTCGCGGCCCCGACAGCCGAACTCGTTGCTCGGCTCGGAGCCCCCGGGGAGGCTGGGCGTCGAGACGCGGGGCGATGTCGCCCATCATCCTGCAGCCGCGGCGTCCGGCAGGCTCGGCTCTCCGCCCGGCTCCGTGCGCGCGGCGCGGGGCTCTGGGCTCGCCCGCCGCTCGCCGCCCGGCCGGGGCGGGGGACGTTTGGTGGAGTCGGAAGCTCGATGCTTCAGGCCTGGTGCCTTTAAAAAGCGTGCGTTTGGGGGTGTCCAGGCTCACCCAAGCTTCCTTCCAATCCGTGCAATTTCAAATCTTCACGTTCGTTCGTTCCTATTCCGGCTAATTCTGGTTTGGCAGAGGGAGGAAAAAAAAAAAAACCAACCTTGCAGCCACCTCACAGGCACACTCTTGTGGCCGGTTGAAGCCTATACTTCGGCTGAGGTTTGCTAATGCTGTGCTTGCTTGTAAGAGGAGGGAGGGACCTGGAGCCTGACCCGGGATGCCGGTGAGCAGAGAAGCTGCTCCCGTTCTCTCTCTCTCTCTCTCTCTCTCTCTCTCTCTCTCTCTCTCTCTCTCTCTCTCTCTCTCTCTCGGAGAGCAGAGAAGCGATGACTCGACCCTTACTGGAATCTGGGACACAATATACAGCAGTCTGTAAAGCGAAGAGGAGGCTAACAGGCCCTGCGATATTGTTTTTGGCCAAAGCAGGCTGAAAAATCCCTCATCTTTTGCTCCTCTTGGATACCACCTCTGCCCATCTTTCTGCAGTCTGTTGTCTGCATGCCCAGCATACATCGCATACATCGCATTTCTGTTCCTACTGTTCGGGGGAAGGCCCTCAATACACTGCTCCCACTTTGGAAAGTTGCCTGTGTGAGAGTGTGAGCCAGTTTTCTATTGCTGCTGTTAGCAATCACTACAGACTCAGGCGCTGGGGACACCTCAAACTCCTGATTTATATTTCTGGAGACCAGAAGCCCGAGATGGGTCTTACTGGGCTACAATCACTCTGGTGGCAGAAGGAAGGCTGTGTACCTTCCAGCAAGCCGCTAGGCTGTGGAGGCCACCTGTATTCCTCAGCTGCTCACCACTTCCTCGTAGGCAGGGGCACAGCATTCGGTCCCTCTGTCTGTCTTCCAACAGCATGGCCCCTTCTTGCCCTCTCAGTTTTGTCTCCCTCTCCTACTTTCTTTTGTCTTTTTGAGACAAGGTCTCACAAAGGTTCAGGCTGGCCTTGATCTCACTTTGTAGCCCAGGCTGGTCTCGAACTTGCAATGATCCTGTCTCAGTCTGCCAAATGCAGGGATTACAGGAGTGTGCCACCACTCCCAGCTTCCCTCTCCTACTTTTTTTTTTTTTTTTTTAAATCGGTACGGGGGATCGAACTCATGACCATGCTCTTGAAAGCAGGTGCTTATGCCACTGAGCTAAATCCTCAGCCTCCTTCCTCTCCTACTTTTGAGGACAATCGCCTTCCTGGTTCATCCAGACAGGGTCCTTGTATCAAGGGCTGCTAATGAGCAGCCTCACCCCATCTGGTGCCTTAATTCCCCTTTGGCTATGGAAGATCACATTTCACAGATTCCAGGGACAGGATGTGTGTGTCTAGGGAAGGGAGACCATTATTCTGCCTCCCACGGATGTCTTTTTTTTTTTCTTGCAAAGAATATCCAATATGTATTCTATGTTGTCATTCCTCACATCAGCTCTTGACTGCAGCCTGACTGAGGTGATCGTGTGGCACACTGGAGGCATTGTAGTGAGGCATCAGGCTGAGCTGGTCCCCTTTTGCTGATGAGAGGTGTCCTTCTTACCCAGTTCTCCTTTCAACCAGGCTTTTGACAGCAATTCAAGGTTGGAGTTCTTAGCAAAAACCTAATGGACAGATGACCCATTTCATCTGAAAAGAGACCTAGAAGACTTTACACTGTTTTTGTTCTCATTTTAAAACTTTGCTGATGTATTGATGTGGCATAAATGGCACATATTTAAAGGTGTGTGTATGTGCGCATGCACACGCGCACGCACATACTCTGGCAGTGAATACAGGGCTTTGCACATGCTTGGCAAGCGCCACTGAGCTCCACCTGCAGCTCCACGGGGCGTTTTACACTTAGTAGTTTTGTGTAAATCTGTGATGCTATCACCTTGGTCCCATCCTCAGGTTTCCCTCCCATCCCAGCAGCCTTGCACTGGTGTCCCAAGAAGCTTCAGCTCTGACTTGAGACGCTTTGCACCTGGGGTTCCCACGGAAGGCTGTGTTGGAAAGTCATTCTCTCTGTGTGGATAAGACCGTGCGTACCTCCCCAGGGCTGTGTCACTGGTCCAGGCCGACAGCAGTACTCTCAGTGCCAAAAGAAGCGAAGAAGTGGGACCCGAGGCTTAGACAACTGGGTTAAATGTGTACAGACCCCATCAAGCACTAAGCTCTTTCCATGTCAGAAGCACAGGAGCCTGGGATTCCTTTGCTCTGTCAGGTTGGGACCTGTTGTCCCAAGTTGGCAGCCTTACCTGGAACTGAGTGGTGCTGGGGAACAGCCTTGCCCACTAGAGGAGGTGACTGACTCAAGACCTGCCTTGAAAGCTGTTACCTCAGTTCCTGTCTTGCATTCAACTCCGCAGAGAAGTTGGCATGGCCCTGAGAGTTTGCACAACCCTTGCTGCAGCTGCGGAAGCTTGGCAGCGTGGATGAGGCACAGAGCAGGGCACGTTCAGCCATTAAGGAGGTTGCTGACACAGGACACAGAAGGTTTAAGGGACGGGCTCTGAGGTGTCACCTTCACTAGCAGTCTCGGCATATAGATGACCTGAACCCTGCACGGTATCCCTGGTCCCTCCATCAGGCCCAGGCAGCTCCACCCCTGGCCTCCACTCTCCACTTCTCTGGGTGGAGGGCAGAGAGACCAAAGTTTGCAGCTCCAGTCACCTGCCCCTGAAACACAGCTGTGCTCAGGAGGCTGGGACGAGCCCCACGGCACAGCCCCTGCAGCTTGAGAAAGGAGGAAGGAAACCCTGTGTCTTACACAGGACGAGAAGCACAGCCTAGGCCAGAAGGCAGCCACCTTCCGTCTCTTCTTCCTATCCAGCGCCTTCCAGTTTCAGGCATCAAACTTGGTGAGGACGGAAGAAAACGGACATCTCACAGCAGCCTTCAGCGCTGGAGGTCCCTGATGACCCCTGGCGACACTGGCCACCACGGCCAGGTGTTCCATCAGTGTGCTTTCACTTCCTTACAAGGCGCCGGGGATACAGCTCAGAGGCATGAGCACTGCCTGGCTAGAACAAGGTCCTGAGTTCAATTCCTGATTAAAAAAAAATTGACAAGGCCTCTTTTTTTGTGCTTTATTCACGGGCTCCTGTGACAGTGGTTACTTCTCAGCTCTTCATTTCTACTTCCGTTCAGTGAGGATTTGTCAGCATCTATGCTGACAAAACCACAAAACCAACAGGAATGTGCTCCTTCATTGAGCTAATGCTCTAGGGAGTGCAAGAGAAATAATAAACAAGGCAAATAATATATATGTATGTATGTATATAACTATGTGGCATGTTAGATAGTACAAGCACTAAGGAAAAAAATAAGCATGAACTAGGACTATGAAGATTTGAGGTTGTGAGAAGTTTTAGGTAGGAGGGTCAGGAGGAAGCTCATTCTAGTGGCAGGCATAGCAGGTGCAAAGGCCCCGAGGCACAGAAAATACCTATTCATTATCCTAGGATCTTGAAAATCATAGAAAACTGATTTATTCAGAGATGGGACCTTGGACAGTGTTGAGCAGAACAGAAGTATAAGCAGATGAGCATTTGTCATATCCCGCTAATGAAGAGCGGGATTGAGAAGAGACTGCAGGGAACAGGGGCAGGAGGGAGGCAGAAGTAGAAAAACCGGTTTGGAGGTGATTACAAATGTGAGTCAAGGGGTACTTGAATAATGGGGGTGAAACGAGACTGATTTTTATTTGTTTATTTTTCCAGTACCGAGGGTTTTCACTGAACTACACCCTCTTCCTTGCTAAGTCACCGAATTGTTGAGACCACCTGCAAATCCTCCTGCCTCAGTCTCCCAGGGAGCTGAGATTACAGACATGCACCACCACGCCAGGCTGATTCCACTGGATGTTGTACTAGAGGTTCTAACCAGAGCAATTAGGCAAAAACAAGTAAATTAATAAACTGAAAAAATAAAAAGATACAAAGAAGAAATTAAGGCATCTAGACTAGCAAAGGAAAAGCAGAACTGTCTCTATTTGCAGTTGATGAGATTCTATATAGAAAATCACATGGACCCCATCAAAATGGCAGCTCTAGTAAGTAGGAGTTCATTCAGGTTCAGGACACAAAAATCAAAGGTAGTTATACCAACTAACAATTCCACTTCCCACAGCATCAACCAGAATTTTAAAAGTTGGTGACAGCATCAAAGCAAGTGGCAGACTTGCATCCTGGAAGTGACAGAATATGACTGAAAGAAACCAAAGGCTGCATGCAGAGACACTGCTCTGCGCCCCATGGGCCCTGCACCCGGGCTCTTTCCGTAAGCCCGAGCTGGCCAGGCTGGGTCCCCAGCTGGACTCGCTCTGTGCCTCTGCAAGAGAGAACAATTTCAATGTACTATGAAAGAAAAGTGCCACCACTCATGACTGGCTGCTCGGGGATCATGAAGACCAAGGCTCTGTCCTCCTCCTCCGCATGAGGAGCAGGGTGAGCGTGGTGGTGGGAGCCGGGCATGAGGAGTGCCCGGGGGCCGGGCTCTGAGGCCGGCCAGGCCTGTGCCGGAGCCAGCAGCCTGGAGGGAAAACCACGGCAGCACGTGGTCACAGGGCGACGGAGAGGATGAAGTGTGATGACACATGTGAGGCACTGTGGCTGGCGTGTCATCAGGGGATTTGTTTCTGGAGCAGGGATAACGGTGTCCTCCACACCCATCGCCCTGCACGGAGGGCACCAGCACACTTCAGAGAGGCAGCGTAAGTCAGTGGCTGAGGGCTGAAACCTGGAGCCTCATTGGCTGGATTGAAATCAGTCTCCCTCTCCCTCCCTAACCCCTTGAGTTTTCTGAGACAGGGCCTCACTTACATTGTCCAGGATGGCCTTGAATTCATGGTGATCCTCCTGCTCAGGCTCCAGGTGCTGGAATGCTGGGATTGCAAGCTTACCA